CACACTAGACCTGTGTCACCCACCATCATACACCACACTAGACCTGTGTCACCCACCATCATACACCACACTAGACCTGTGTCACCCACCATCATACACCACACTAGATCTGTGTCACCTACCATCATACACCACACTAGACCTGTGTCACCTACCATCATACACCACACTAGACCTGTGTCACCCACTATCATACACCACACTAGACCTGTGTCACCCACCATCATACATCACACTAGACCTGTGTCACCCACCATCACCTACACCACACCACACTAGACCTGTGTCACCTACCATCATACACCACACTAGACCTGTGTCCCACCATCATACACCACACTAGACCTGTGTCACCTACCATCATACACCACACTAGACCTGTGTCACCTACCATCATACACCACACTAGACCTGTGTCACCTACCATCATACACCACACTAGACCTGTGTCACCTACCATCACACACCACACTAGATCTGTGTCACCTACCATCATACACCACACTAGACCTGTGTCACCTATCATCTTACACCACACTAGATCTGTGTCACCTACCATCATACATCACACTAGACCTGTGTCACCCACCATCATACACCACACTAGACCTGTGTCACCTACCATCATACACCACACTAGACCTGTGTTACCCACCATCATACACCACACTAGACCTGTGTCACCTACCATCACACACCACACTAGACCTGTGTCACGTACCATCATACACCACACTAGACCTGTGTCACCTACCATCATACACCACACTAGACCTGTGTCACCTACCATCATACACCACACTAGATCTGTGTCACCTACCATCACACACCACACTAAATGTGTGTCACCTACCATCATACACCACACTAGACCTGTGTCACCTATCATCTTACACCACACTAGATCTGTGTCACCTACCATCATACACCACACTAGACCTGTGTCACCTATCATCTTACATCACACGAGACCTGTGTCACCTACCATCATACACCACACTAGATCTGTGTCACCTATCATCATACATCACACTAGACCTGTGTCACCCACCATCATACACCACACTAGACCTGTGTCACCTATCATCTACACCACACTAGACCTGTGTCACCTACCATCACACACCACACTAGATCTGTGTCACCTACTATCATACACCACACTAGACCTGTGTCACCTATCATCTTACACCACACTAGATCTGTGTCACCTACCATCATACACCACACTAGATCTGTGTCACTCACCATCACACACCACACTAGACCTGTGTCATGTACCATCACACACCACACTAGATCCGTGTCACCTACCATCATACACCACACTAGACCTGTGTCACCTACCATCATACACCACACTAGACCTGTGTCACCTATCATCTTACACCACACTAGACCTGTGTCACCTACCATCACACACCACACTAGATCTGTGTCACCTACCATCATACACCACACTAGACCTGTGTCACCTATCATCTTACACCACACTAGATCTGTGTCACCCACCATCATACACCACACTAGACCTGTGTCACCCACCATCATACACCACACTAGACCTGTGTCACCTACCATCATACACCACACTAGACCTGTGTTACCCACCATCATACACCACACTAGACCTGTGTCACCTACCATCACACACCACACTAGACCTGTGTCACGTACCATCATACACCACACTAGACCTGTGTCACCTACCATCATACACCACACTAGACCTGTGTCACCTACCATCATACACCACACTAGATCTGTGTCACCTACCATCACACACCATACTAAATGTGTGTCACCTACCATCATACACCACACTAGACCTGTGTCACCTATCATCTTACACCACACTAGATCTGTGTCACCTACCATCATACACCACACTAGACCTGTGTCACCTATCATCTTACATCACACGAGACCTGTTTCACACACCATCATACACCACACTAGATCTGTGTCACCCATCATCATACATCACACTAGACCTGTGTCACCCACCATCATACACCACACTAGACCTGTGTCACCTATCATCTTACACCACACTAGACCTGTGTCACCTACCATCACACACCACACTAGATCTGTGTCACCTACTATCATACACCACACTAGACCTGTGTCACCTATCATCTTACACCACACTAGATCTGTGTCACCTACCATCATACACCACACTAGATCTGTGTCACTCACCATCACACACCACACTAGACCTGTGTCATCTACCATCACACACCACACTAGATCCGTGTCACCTACCATCATACACCACACTAGACCTGTGTCACCTACCATCATACACCACACTAGACCTGTGTCACCTATCATCTTACACCACACTAGACCTGTGTCACCTACCATCACACACCACACTAGATCTGTGTCACCTACTATCATACACCACACTAGACCTGTGTCACCTATCATCTTACACCACACTAGATCTGTGTCACCCACCATCATACACCACACTAGACCTGTGTCACCCACCATCATACACCACACTAGACCTGTGTCACCCACCATCATACACCACACTAGACCTGTGTCGCCCACTATCATACACCACACTAGATCTGTGTCACTTATCATCTTACATCACACGAGACCTGTGTCACACACCATCATACACCACACTAGATCTGTGTCACCCACCATCATACATCACACTAGACCTGTGTCACCCACCATCTTACACCACACTAGACCTGTGTCACCTACCATCATACACCACACTAGATCTGTGTCACCCACCATCATACACCACACTAGACCTGTGTTACCCACCATCATACACCACACTAGACCTGTGTCACCTACCATCACACACCACACTAGACCTGTGTCACGTACCATCATACACCACACTAGACCTGTGTCACCTACCATCATACACCACACTAGACCTGTGTCACCTACCATCAAACACCACACTAGATCTGTGTCACCTACCATCTTACACCACACTAGATCTGTGTCACCTATCATCTTACACCACACTAGATCTGTGCAACCTACCATAATACACCACACTAGACCTGTGTCACCTACCATCATACACCACACTAGACCTGTGTCACCTACCATCATACACCACACTAGATCTGTGTCACCCACCATCACACACCACACTAGATCTGTGTCACCTACTATCATACACCACACTAGACCTGTCTCATCCACCATCATACACCACACTGGACCTGTGTCACCTACCATCACACACCACACTAAATCTGTGTCACCTACCATCATACACTTCACTAGACCTGTGTCACCTATCATCTTACACCACACTAGATCTGTGTCACCTACCATCATACACCACACTAGATCTGTGTCACCTACCATCATACACCACACTAGATCTGTGTCACCTACCATCACACACCACACTAGATCTGTGTCACCTACTATCATACACCACATTAGACCTGTGTCACCTATCATCTTACACCACACTAGGTCTGTGTCACCTACCATCATACACCACAGTAGATCTGTGTCACTCACCATCACACACCACACTAGACCTCTGTCATCTACCATCACACACCACACTAGATCCGTGTCACCTACCATCATACACCACACTAGACCTGTGTCACCTACCATCATACACCACACTAGACCTGTGTCACCTATCATCTTACACCACACTAGACCTGTGTCACCTACCATCACACACCACACTAGATCTGTGTCACCTACTATCATACACCGCACTAGACCTGTGTCACCTATCATCTTACACCACACTAGATCTGTGTCACCCACCATCATACACCACACTAGACCTGTGTCACCCACCATCATACACCACACTAGACCTGTGTCACCCACCATCATACACCAAACTAGACCTGTGTCGCCCATCATCATACACCACACTAGATCTGTGTCACTTATCATCTTACATCACACGAGACCTGTGTCACCACCATCATACACCACACTAGACCTGTGTCACCCACCATAGACCTGTGTCACCCACCAATTATCATACACCACACTAGACCTGTGTCACCCACCATCATACACCACACTAGACCTGTGTCACCCACCATCATACACCAAACTAGACCTGTGTCACCCACCATCATACACCACACTAGACCTGTGTCACCCACCATCATACACCACACTAGACCTGTGTCACCCACCATCATACACCACACTAGACCTGTGTCACCCACCATCATACACCACACTAGACCTGTGTCACCCACCATCATGCACCACACTAGATCTGTGTCACCCACCATCATACACCACACTAGACCTGTGTCACCCACCATCATACACCACACGAGACATGTGTCACCCACCATCATACACCACACTAGACATGTGTCACCCACCATCATACACCACACTAGACATGTGTCACCCACCATCATACACCACACTAGACCTGTGCCACCCACCATCATACACCACACTAGATCTGTGTCACCCACCATCATACACCACACTAGACCTGTGTCACCTACCATCATACACCACACTAGACCTGTGTCACCCACCATCATACACCACACTAGATCTGTGTCACCCACCATCATACATCACACTAGACCTGTGTCACCTACCATCATACACCACACTAGACCTGTGTCACCTACCATCACACACTACACGAGACATGTGTCACCCACCATCATACACCACACTAGATCTGTGTCACCTACCATCATACACCACACTAGACATGTGTCACCCACCATCACACACCACACTAGACCTGTGTCACCTACCATCACACACCACACGAGACATGTGTCACCCACCATCATACACCACACTAGACATGTGTCACCCACCATCATACACCACACTAGACCTGTGTCACCTATCATCTTACACCACACTAGACCTGTGTCACCCACCATCATACACCACACTAGACCTGTGTCACCTACCATCATACACCACACTAGACCTGTGTCACCCACCATCATACACCACACTAGACATGTGTCACCCACCATCATAGGCTGCAAAGTAGTCAAATCGACAGTTTTCACTGGATTCAATGTCTGAGTTCAAGACAGTTATGCGGATGTAAGAGGAGACGTTGGTTCGTAGTCTCCAGGAACAGCTCACATCACTGAAAGCCAAAAACAATGCTACACTACACACACTAACCAATCACTGCTGTAAAACCAGCTGTAACAACAGTTATATCAAAGGAACGTCAGTGAAAGTATTAAAACCTAATTCAACCAAAATTTTAAAGTTTACTGATTTACTACACTTACATAATCCTATGATTTCAGAAACAATTCTAATCCCACTGCCTTCAACCATATCTCCTTTTCTGACTGCTGAAATCCATATTTGGTTTTATAAATGTCATCAGCTGAGTTTACAAATATTAAGCAATTGATTTGGCACCATTAGATACAGCCACATGGCTGCTCTCCATCAAACATAACATCCAAGTCACAAGCTCAGTGACAGAGTTCACTGCTGCAAGCCTTTATGAATACTGTATGTTTGTCATGCTAGCATGTTATACAAGTGGTATGTTTGTACGAACAATCAGTTATGTCAGTGTGGTCACTATCTTCGGGTAGTTGTCTGAAAAAATTGGTGTGGTTACTATCTTGTGGTTGTTCTCAGGAAAAGTGGGTGTGGTCACTGTCTTCGGGTAGTTCTCAGGAAAAGTGGGTGTGGTCACTATCTTGGGGTAGTTCTCAGGAAAAGTGGGTGTGGTCACTTACTTGGGGTAGTTGTCAGGGTAGCTGGGTGATTCAATGTAGTCGGGTACCAGGCGAACTTGCAGCTCAGAGACATGGCCGGCTGCACAAGCTGGAACACCAATACTTTGCTGGATCAATGTGCACACTTTGAACATGAGCTTTACAACACTACATGCTCTGAGCTGTCAACACTACACGCTCTGAGCTGTCAACCCTACACACTCTGAGCTGTCAACACTACATGCTCCGAGCTGTCAACACTACACACTCTGAGCTGTCAACACTATACGCTCTGAGCTGTCAACACTACAGGCTCTGAGCTGTCAACACTCCACGCTCTGAGCTGTCAACACTACACACTCTGAGCTGTCAACTCTACACGCTCTGAGCTGTCAACACTACAAGCTCTGAGCTGTCAACACTACACACTCTGAGCTGTCAACCATACAGGCTCTGAGCTGTCAACTCTACACGCTCTGAGCTGTCAACACTACAGGCTCTGAGCTGTCAACACTACAAGCTCTGAGCTGTCAACACTACACACTCTGAGCTGTCAACCATACAGGCTCTGAGCTGTCAACTCTACACGCTCTGAGCTGTCAACACTACAGGCTCTGAGCTGTCAACTCTACAGGCTCTGAGCTGTCAACCCTACACACTCTGAGCTGTCAACACTACACCCTCTGAGCTGTCAACACTACACGCTCTGAGCTTTACAACCCTACACACTCTGGACTGTCAACTCTACACACACTGAGCTGTCAACTCTACACACTCTGGACTGTCAACTCTACACACACTGAGATGTCAACTCTACACACACTGAGCTGTCAACTCTACACACTCTGAGCTGTCAACACTACTCTGAGCTGTCAACACAACACACTCTGAGCTGTCAAGACTACACACTCTGAGCTGTCAACACAACATACTCTGAGTTGTCAACTCTACAAACACTGAGCTGTCCACACTACTCTGATCTGTCAACACTACACACTCTGAACTGTCATAACTACACACTGAGCTGTCAACCCTACACACTCTGAGATGTCAACTCTACACACTCTGAGCTGTCAACACTATACACTCTGAGCTGTCAACACTACATGCTCTGAGCTGTCAACACTACAGGCTCTGAGTTGTCAACACTACAGGCTCTGAGCTGTCAACTCTACACACTCTGAGCTGTCAACACTACACACTCTGAGCTGTCAAGACTACACACTCTGAGCTGTCAACACTACAGGCTCTGAGCTGTCAACACTACACACTCTGAGCTGTCAACACTACACGCTCTGAGCTGTCAACACTACACGCTCTGAGCTGTCAACACTACAGGCTCTGAGCTGTCAACTCTACACGCTCTGAGCTGTCAACACTACAGGCTCTGAGCTGTCAACACTACACACTCTGAGCTGTCAACACTACACGCTCTGAGCTGTCAACACTACAGGCTCTGAGCTGTCAACACTACACGCTCTGAGCTGTCAACACTACACACTCTCAGCTGTCAACACTACATGCTCTGAGCTGTCAACACTACAGGCTCTGAGCTGTCAACACTACATGCTCTGAGCTGTCAACACTACATGCTCTGGGCTGTCAACAATACAGGCTCTGAGCTGTCAACACTACACACTCTGAGCTGTCAACACTACATGCTCTGGGCTGTCAACACTACAGGCTCTGTGCTGTCAACACTACACACTCTGAGCTGTCAACCCTACACGCTCTGAGCTGTCAACTCTACACGCTCTGAGCTGTCAACCCTACACACTCTGAGCTGTCAACACTACATGCTCTGGGCTGTCAACACTACATGCTCTGAGCTGTCAACACTACACACTCTGAGCTGTCAACACTACACGCTCTGAGCTGTCAACACTACACACTCTGAGCTGTCAACACTACACGCTCTGAGCTGTCAACACTACACACTCTCAGCTGTCAACACTACATGCTCTGAGCTGTCAACACTACAGGCTCTGAGCTGTCAACACTACATGCTCTGAGCTGTCAACACTACATGCTCTGAGCTGTCAACTCTACACGCTCTGAGCTTCCAACACTACATGCTCTGAGCTGTCAACCCTACACACTCTGAGCTGTCAACACTACACACTCTGGACTGTCAACACTACAGGCTCTGAGCTGTCAACACTACACACTCTGAGCTGTCAACACTACATGCTCTGGGCTGTCAACACTACAGGCTCTGAGCTGTCAACACTACACACTCTGAGCTGTCAACCCTACACGCTATGAGCTGTCAACACTACAGGCTCTGAGCTGTCAACACTACACTCTCTGAGCTGTCAACACTACACACTCTGAGCTGTCAACTCTACACGCTCTGAGCTGTCAACACTACAAGCTCTGAGCTGTCAACACTACACACTCTGAGCTGTCAACCATACAGGCTCTGAGCTGTCAACTCTACACGCTCTGAGCTGTCAACACTACAGGCTCTGAGCTGTCAACACTACAAGCTCTGAGCTGTCAACACTACACACTCTGAGCTGTCAACCATACAGGCTCTGAGCTGTCAACTCTACACGCTCTGAGCTGTCAACACTACAGGCTCTGAGCTGTCAGCTCTACAGGCTCTGAGCTGTCAACCCTACACACTCTCTGAGCTGTCAACACTACACCCTCTGAGCTGTCAACACTGCGGCTCTGAGCTTTACAACCCTACACACTCTGGACTGTCAACTCTACACACACTGAGCTGTCAACTCTACACACTCTGGACTGTCAACTCTACACACACTGAGATGTCAACTCTACACACACTGAGCTGTCAACTCTACACACTCTGAGCTGTCAACACTACTCTGAGCTGTCAACACAACACACTCTGAGCTGTCAAGACTACACACTCTGAGCTGTCAACACAACATACTCTGAGTTGTCAACTCTACAAACACTGAGCTGTCCACACTACTCTGATCTGTCAACACTACACACTCTGAACTGTCATAACTACACACTGAGCTGTCAACCCTACACACTCTGAGATGTCAACTCTACACACTCTGAGCTGTCAACACTATACACTCTGAGCTGTCAACACTACATGCTCTGAGCTGTCAACACTACAGGCTCTGAGTTGTCAACACTACAGGCTCTGAGCTGTCAACTCTACACACTCTGAGCTGTCAACACTACACACTCTGAGCTGTCAAGACTACACACTCTGAGCTGTCAACACTACAGGCTCTGAGCTGTCAACACTACACACTCTGAGCTGTCAACACTACACGCTCTGAGCTGTCAACACTACACGCTCTGAGCTGTCAACACTACAGGCTCTGAGCTGTCAACTCTACACGCTCTGAGCTGTCAACACTACAGGCTCTGAGCTGTCAACACTACACACTCTGAGCTGTCAACACTACACGCTCTGAGCTGTCAACACTACAGGCTCTGAGCTGTCAACACTACACGCTCTGAGCTGTCAACACTACACACTCTCAGCTGTCAACACTACATGCTCTGAGCTGTCAACACTACAGGCTCTGAGCTGTCAACACTACATGCTCTGAGCTGTCAACACTACATGCTCTGGGCTGTCAACAATACAGGCTCTGAGCTGTCAACACTACACACTCTGAGCTGTCAACACTACATGCTCTGGGCTGTCAACACTACAGGCTCTGTGCTGTCAACACTACACACTCTGAGCTGTCAACCCTACACGCTCTGAGCTGTCAACTCTACACGCTCTGAGCTGTCAACACTACACACTCTCAGCTGTCAACACTACATGCTCTGAGCTGTCAACACTACAGGCTCTGAGCTGTCAACACTACATGCTCTGAGCTGTCAACACTACATGCTCTGAGCTGTCAACTCTACACGCTCTGAGCTTCCAACACTACATGCTCTGAGCTGTCAACCCTACACACTCTGAGCTGTCAACACTACACGCTCTGGACTGTCAACACTACAGGCTCTGAGCTGTCAACACTACACACTCTGAGCTGTCAACACTACATGCTCTGGGCTGTCAACACTACAGGCTCTGAGCTGTCAACACTACACACTCTGAGCTGTCAACCCTACACGCTATGAGCTGTCAACTCTACACGCTCTGAGCTGTCAACCCTACACACTCTGAGCTGTCAACCCTACACGCTCTGAGCTGTCAACACTACACACTCTGAGCTGTCAACTCTACACACTCTGAGCTGTCAACTCTACACACTCTGAGCTGTCAACTCTACACGCTCTGAGCTGTCAACTCTACACACTCTGAGCTGTCAACACTACACACTCTGAGCTGTCAACCCTACACACTCTAAGCTGTCAACTCTACATGCTCTGAGCTGTCAACACTACATATTCTGAGCTGTCAACACTCCATGCTCTGAGCTGTCAACCCTACACACTCTGAGCTGTCAACACTACACACTCTGAGCTGTCAACCCTACACGCTCTGAGCTGTCAACACTACACGCTCTGAGATGTCAACTCTACACACTCTGAGCTGTCAACCCTACACGCTCTGAGCTGTCAACACTACACACTCTGAGATGTCAACTCTACACACTCTGAGCTGTCAACCCTACACGCTCTGAGCTGTCAACACTACACACTCTGAGCTGTCAACTCTACACACTCTGAGCTGTCAACTCTACACGCTCTGAGCTGTCAACTCTACACACTCTGAGCTGTCAACACTACACACTCTGAGCTGTCAACCCTACACACTCTAAGCTGTCAACTCTACATGCTCTGAGCTGTCAACACTACATATTCTGAGCTGTCAACACTCCATGCTCTGAGCTGTCAACCCTACACACTCTGAGCTGTCAACACTACACACTCTGAGCTGTCAACTCTACATGCTCTGAGCTGTCAACTCTACACGCTCTGAGATGTCAACTCTACACACTCTGAGCTGTCAACTCTACACACTCTGAGCTGTCAACACTACTCTGAGCTGTCAACTTTCAATGCACTTTGAGCGGTAAACATTCTCTATACACTGTAAACTCCAAGCTGTAGATATGCTCCACACTGGAAGCGATACTAATACTACTATACATATTCTGTTCACCTTTTGTGGTGAAGTACTATACATATTCTGTTCACCTTTTGTGGTGAAGTACTATACACATTCTGTTCACCTTTTGTGGTGAAGTACTATACATATTCTGTTCACCTTTTGTGGTGAAGTACTATACACATTCTGTTCACCTTTTGTGGTGAAGTACTATACACATTCTGTTCACCTTTTGTGGTGAAGTACTATACATATTTTGTTCACCTTTTGTGGTGAAGTACTATACACATTCTGTTCACCTTTTGTGGTGAAGTACTATACACATTCTGTTCACCTTTTGTGGTGAAGTACTATACATATTCTGTTCACCTTTTGTGGTGAAGTACTATACATATTCTGTTCACCTTTTGTGGTGAAGTACTATACACATTCTGTTCACCTTTTGTGGTGAAGTACTATACACATTCTGTTCACCTTTTGTGGTGAAGTACTATGCACATTCTGTTCACCTTTTGTGGTGAAGTACTATACATATTCTGTTCACCTTTTGTGGTGAAGTACTATGCACATTCTGTTCACCTTTTGTGGTGAAGTACTATACATATTCTGTTCACCTTTTGTGGTGAAGTACTATACACATTCTGTTCACCTTTTGTGGTGAAGTACTATACACATTCTGTTCACCTTTTGTGGTGAAGTACTATACACATTCTGTTCACCTTTTGTGGTGAAGTACTATACACATTTTGTTCACCTTTTGTGGTGAAGTACTATACACATTCTGTTCACCTTTTGTGGTGAAGTACTATACACATTCTGTTCACTTTTGTGGTGAAGTACTATACACATTCTGTTCACCTTTTGTGGTGAAATACTATACATATTCTGTTCACCTTTTGTGGTGAAGTACTATACATATTCTGTTCACCTTTTGTGGTGAAGTACTATACACATTCTGTTCACCTTTTGTGGTGAAGTACTATACACATTCTGTTCACCTTTTGTGGTGAAGTACTATACATATTCTGTTCACCTTTTGTGGTGAAGTACTATACATATTCTGTTCACCTTTTGTGGTGAAGTACTATACATATTCTGTTCACCTTTTGTGGTGAAGTACTATACACATTCTGTTCACCTTTTGTGGTGAAGTACTATACACATTCTGTTCACCTTTTGTGGTGAAGTACTATACACACTCTGTTCACCTTTTGTGGTGAAGTACTATACATATTCTGTTCACCTTTTGTGGTGAAGTACTATACACATTCTGTTCACCTTTTGTGGTGAAGTACTATACACATTCTGTTCACCTTTTGTGGTGAAGTACTATACACATTCTGTTCACCTTTTGTGGTGAAGTACTATACATATTCTGTTCACCTTTTGTGGTGAAGTACTATACACATTCTGTTCACCTTTTGTGGTGAAGTACTATACATATTCTGTTCACCTTTTGTGGTGAAGTACTATACACATTCTGTTCACCTTTTGTGGTGAAGTACTATACACATTCTGTTCACCTTTTGTGGTGAAGCACTATACATATTCTGTTCACCTTTTGTGGTGAAGTACTATACACATTCTGTTCACCTTTTGTGGTGAAGTACTATACATATTCTGTTCACCTTTTGTGGTGAAGTACTATACACATTCTGTTCACCTTTTGTGGTGAAGTACTATACACATTCAGTTCACCTTTTGTGGTGAAGTACTATACACATTCTGTTCACCTTTTGTGGTGAAGTACTATACACATTCTGTTCACCTTTTGTGGTGAAGTACTATACATATTCTGTTCACCTTTTGTGGTGAAGTACTATACATATTCTGTTCACCTTTTGTGGTGAAGTACTATACACATTCTGTTCACCTTTTGTGGTGAAGTACTATACATATTCTGTTCACCTTTTGTGGTGAAGTACTATACATATTCTGTTCACCTTTTGTGGTGAAGTACTATACACATTCTGTTCACCTTTTGTGGTGGAGTACTATACACATTCTGTTCACCTTTTGTGGTGAAGTACTAGACACATTCTGTTCACCTTTTGTGGTGAAGTACTAGACACATTCTGTTCACCTTTTGTGGTGAAGTACTATACACATTCTGTTCACCTTTTGTGGTGAAGTACTATACATATTCTGTTCACCTTTTGTGGTGAAGTACTATACATATTCTGTTCACCTTTTGTGGTGAAGTACTATACATATTCTGTTCACCTTTTGTGGTGAAGTACTATACACATTCTGTTCACCTTTGTGGTGAAGTACTATACACATTCTGTTCACCTTTTTGTGGTGAAGTACTATACACATTCTGTTCACCTTTTGTGGTGAAGTACTATACACATTCTGTTCACCTTTTGTGGTGAAGTACTATACACATTCTGTTCACCTTTTGTGGTGAAGTACTATACATATTCTGTTCACCTTTTGTGGTGAAGTACTATACACATTCTGTTCACCTTTTGTGGTGAAGTACTATACACATTCTGTTCACCTTTTGTGGTGAAGTACTATACATATTCTGTTCACCTTTTGTGGTGAAGTACTATACGTATTCTGTTCACCTTTTGTGGTGAAGTACTATACACATTCTGTTCACCTTTAGTGGTGAAGTACTATACACATTCTGTTCACCTTTTGTGGTGAAGTACTATACATATTCTGTTCACCTTTTGTGGTGAAGTACTATACATATTCTGTTCACCTTTTGTGGTGAAGTACTATACATATTCTGTTCACCTTTTGTGGTGAAGTACTATACATATTCTGTTCACCTTTTGTGGTGAAGTACTATACATATTCTGTTCACCTTTTGTGGTGAAGTACTATACATATTCTGTTCACCTTTTGTGGTGAAGTACTATACATATTCTGTTCACCTTTTGTGGTGAAGTACTATACATATTCTGTTCACCTTTTGTGGTGAAGTACTATACATATTCTGTTCACCTTTTGTGGTGAAGTACTATACATATTCTGTTCACCTTTTGTGGTGAAGTACTATACATATTTTGTTCACCTCTTGTGGTGAAGTACTATACATATTCTGTTCACCTGTTGTGGTGAAGTACTATACATATTCTGTTCACCTTTTGTGGTGAAGTACTATACATATTCTGTTCACCTTTTGTGGTGAAGTACTATACACATTCTGTTCACCTTTTGTGGTGAAGTACTGCAGCTGGAAGCCCATGCCAGTTGTGTCCATGTTGGTCTTGAACAGCAGGAACATCGACCTGCCGGCGCTCACGTAAGTCGTCGTGTCCTGTCCGCACCACCGTCCCAGCTCTCGGCCCTCACGATCACCTGTACACAAACACAGTAACTATGACAACAAGGAAAATGAAATTTTTAGAGTAAAATTAATATTTTATACTTATCCTGACTCATGCTTATTGCTTGTCTTCTTCTTCTTGCGAACATAGTGGAACACGTGTATCTCCCAATTGAAGTTCCCTTCAATAAAAAATCATTAATTAGTACTCTCCCAATTGAAGTTCCCTTCAATAAAAAATCACTAATTAGTACTCACCACGAGTTACCTCCCTTCCACAAGCGCGGGAACGAAGGCGCCACCTGAACCCATGTGCCTCACTCTCTCCTTTTGTTTCGAGCCCGACACTTTATTTTTCCGAAGAAATCCAAAGTGTTAAGTGGGGAGGACGGGAGGGCTTACCTCATGAGTCAGGATAAGTATAAAAAATTAATTTTACTCTAAAAATTTCATATTTGTCCTTATCTTGACTCATGCTTATTGCTTGTAGAATCCGACGGAAAAGGAGGTGGGAATATATATACTTTGGAATTAAATAATTAGTGATTTGAACTGTGATGATTGTAATAACCCTATGGGAACTTCATAAAGGCACTGAACTTATGAATGCCTGCTGCTTAACTTATCAGCTGCCATATAAAGGTTATTACAATTTACTGAATATGATAAAAGTATATACAACATTAATGTAAGCTGAAGCTATTAATGTGATAGTATAAACTTCTGAGAGTTTATAGTGAATACTTTTATAAATGAACCAAAGTATTAAGCTCAAGATATGCATATATTTTAGCTATAATAGTATAGTACTGTGCTTAAGATATAATTATAACTTAAGCTGTATAATAGTAACCAACTCCTTAGAGTTTGTTAGCTAATACATTATGAATATGACCATATGACTGAGCTAAAAGGATTGATGAAACTTAAGCTGAACATATATACAATAGCAAAACTCCTAGGAGTTGTAAGCTTATATATAGTATGATATAAAAACCATAGTACTGAGCTTAAGATAATAAATTAAACTTAAGCAAAATATATAGATAGCATGTAGCTATTAGTACTGTTATCAGATAAGTATAAAATCTGTAAGATAGACTTATCTTCTCCGTGGAACTGTCAACTGTTGAGCGAGGACCATGGGACCGAAATGGTGGATACCTGAGACGTCCTCGGTGGTGATATCTCTCAGATAGTGGTTGGCAAACACCATATCGGATCTCCATTATGGTATTCAACGAGCAATTCCCATGTAGAGCGAGAGTTGAGGCTAGCGCTCTAATTTCGTGAGGATTAGAAGCTCTTGGAGGGTCAAGTCCTGCAGCCTTGTAGGCACGTAGTATGACAGTTCTGATCGAGATAGAGATAGTAGTATGTGAGACTTCTGTCTGCGTAGCTTGAGATATGGGGATAAATAATCTCTTGAATTTCCCTCTGCTCTGTTGGATCGTTGGAGATATATTTTCAGTGCTCTTACTGGGCATAGTGATAGATCCATTGTATCATGTGGTCCAAGTATGGATGAGAGAGCTGGGACGTGGAATAAACTGTCTGGTTGACCTGGCAGTTGGTTTTTCGCTATAAAATCCCAGCGAAGTCCCAGATGAGCGATGTTATGAATATCATCAAAGCGTGTTCTCTCATAATCCAGTGCGTGAATCTCTGACATCCTGGCGGCCGTAGCTAGTGCTAACCGGAACAAGGTTTTGTGGGTCAGTGATACAAACGATGTAGATAGCAAAGGTTCATAAGCCTCACTAGTGAGGTGTTGGAGCACTATATTTAGATCCCAGGCTGGAGCGTGAAACTTCCGTTTCTGATCCTCCAATCGGAACGCTCGTAACAAAGCGAGTAACTCTGGTGTTTTTGTTAACTTGACGCCCGTTCTCATAGTTATGACAGAACTTATAGCTGCAAGATAAGTGGACAAGGTTGAGCCTTTTAGATTCTTAGTTTGACGTAGATAACATAAGAAATCTGCCACTTGAGGATGTGTAGCATATCTGGCTGTAAATCCTTTCTTAGCAGCGTAATTGACAAAACTGTGCCATTTGTCATCGTTATAAGTTACGAGTTGAGTTACGTAGTGCAAGCGCTGACGCTTTAGCAGCTCTGGCAGAATAACCTCTCTTATTCAGACATGCCTTGATACAATCCATAATGCGAAGTTTGAATGCTTCTGGTGTTTCGCACTTGTTTGGTGTGCGGATGTATCAATAGATTGGCGTTGTGGGAGCTGAAGAATTGGTTTTCCGATTTCTTGAATGAGATCTGAAACCAAGTTCTCGCTGGCCAGTAGGGCGCGACTAAGATGAGATGGAGGCTCTGCGTTTGACTGATTTTCTGTAAGACTTGTGGGATTAACGCTGGAGGCGGAAAGCGTCGCACGCGCTGAGTCCCTCCCACGATATGCTTAGTGCGTCCGTTGCCCATGCTAGTGGGTCTGGAACTGGCGATACGAATGTTGTCAGTTGCTTGTTGAATCGAGTGGCGAATAGGTCTATCAGAGGAGATCCTATTTCCATGACAATTTGATTGAATATCTCTGTGTGGAGCATCCATTCTGTCGGCGACGGTTGGTGTGGCCGAGAGAGAGCGTCTCCTAATACATTCTTTGCTCCTGGAATGTGGCAAGCTCTGACGTGTATGTTTAGATTGTCGATTAGATCGAACAGTCTGAAACATCGAGTCAGTAGGTTCTGTGACCTTGTTGAACCTTGTTTGTTCACATAAAATGCCACTGTTGAATTGTCTGTGTGAACCATCAACTGAGCGTTCTGTAGTAGGTTGCTCCAGTGACTTATGGCGTTTATGACTGCTTGCATCTCTAGCAGATTTATGTGACATTTGCTCTCTTGATTGCTCCATAGGCCTGACGCTGTTTTGCCGGCAAGGTGGGCTCCCCAACCTTGTAGTGACGCGTCTACGTAGAGATGTGTTTTCGATTCCGGCTCTACTAAGGAGACGCCTGCGCAAACATTCAATCTCTTGGTCCACCAGAGTAGATGTGGTTTGACATAATCTGGTAGACTGAATGGTAGAGGGTCCTCGAGATGAGCATTGATGAGGACTTGTAACGGACATAATTGAAGCCTGCCTCTGACTGTCAAGTCTTGAGCTGACGTGAGTAGTCCCAATAGGCTCTGCCACTGTCGTAGTGGTAACGGAGAGAGTAGGGCTTGAGGAATAAGTTGTTGGATCTTGATCCATCTGTCCTCCGGGACTACAATACGATTCTGAGCTGTTAGAAATCGTATACCTAGAAATTGCAGATCCTGCGTTGGTTCTATGTCCGACGTGAGCAGATTTACTAACCATCCTAATTGAGTTAGTAGCTTGATTATTAAGTTCAGCTGTAGTCTGAGACGCTGTGGATCTGGATCCACTTGTATACCATCGTCTAGGGAAAAAGTGCTGCGAAGACCTTGACGATGTAGGTATGAGACAATAGGCTTGGTCACTCTTGTGAATACCCAAGGGGCCGATGTGATTCCGAAGGGAAGAACCTTCCATTGGTAATGTTTCCCGTCTAGGATAAATCTTAGATATTTCCTTGAGTTGGGATGAATCGGAATGTGTAGATATGCGTCTTGCACATCTATGCTGGCCATGTAATCTTTGGGACGAATTAAATGCCGAAGTTGCGGTAAGTGTATCATGCGAAACGTTGGTGGTTTGCATAGATATTCTCTGTTGAAGATGCTCATGTTGTCATGTTGTATATGAGACGAAACTTCTCCTTGGAATTTTTCTTCGGCACTAGGAAAACTGGGGAGTAGAAACCTGGTACGATGTTTCGTTGATCCAGAACTTCTAAGGCCTAGCTAGCTGTTTGTTTAGCAGAGTAGCTACTGTTTCTCTTAACACAGGTAGTTGTGCCGGTTGAACATTGAACCCTGTGGGGGGGTGACTGTTAACGGAGGCTTGGCCTTGAGTTGTATTAGATATCCGTGCTGTAGGATGTTGGATACATATGGATCTTGTAGTATTCCCCAGTTTTCCCAGTGCAGCTGAAGGCGTCCACCCACTTGAGACGGTTGTACTGGAACGGCTGGGGGTGGAAGACTCCAGTCGTTCCGAACCTGAATTTCATCGTCTAAATCCACGGGCACCTCTGGATGATCTGCCTCTAGCTGATCCTCCCCTAAATTTGCTGTATGGGCGACGAAAAGAATCCTTGGGATCTTTAGCTGCAGCTAATTTCTTGTCCCGTGCTTTCTGTAGCCCCGAAAACTTAGACTTGCCCGAGTATCTCTGTGCTGACTGTTTAATGACGTTCGCTAAGGTATCCATGGATCTGATCATAAGTACCTCTCTCGAGTCTTTAGATACTTCTTTGGAGACCTTGTCTATGTTGCCACCAAACAGTAAGGGCTAAGACCATGGAGCTGTGTATAGAGATTCTGTAAATTGCTTATCCCAAGAGCAGGAGGCTAGTAAGCCTTGCCGACGAGCCATGGTAGTAGTTTCAGTAAGCGCTGACAGGTGCTCTGTAAGAAATTGGTGGTCTCTTTTCTGCATGAGTAGAACTGAGTAGATCATTCTATCTTCCTCCTCTGTAGAATTCTTGAACTTGGTGATGAGAGTTTCATTAATAGTTCTAGATCTATTCAATCCAAAGAACATTCTCCTGGAGATGGTATCTAATTGGGCCAATTTGCGATCGTCTACTCTGTAACTTTGTCATCAATATCCTGGGCCTTGAAAAAGGGGTCCATATTGTGTCCAGCAAATTTCTTGGCATTGAAGACCGGGAAATGTGTAGATTGGACTTTCGAAGATTTGGAACAGGCTGTATCCAGATTAGCTGGTACTGCTGCAATCGGGTCAATAGGAGGTAAGGTGATATTGTCTACATCATCATCCTCCATCAGGTAAGTCTGAGATGAATTCTCGTTCTTCGATGGGGAAGCAAGTTGTAACTCATTCACCATCCAGTATCTAATCTCAGCATCTGAGAAAATGATACCTTCTTCCTCTTCTGGACGTAGGGTCACATGTCGGAGTCCTAGATCTGTAGGAAGATCTATGACGAGGACTGTGGAGAACGGACTGACGAAAGTGGCTAGTGTAATGCGTAAGGAGACCTTGGAGGAGACATCCTCGGCGAACGCTGGGGACTTCGCGAAGCTCTTCTAGATCTTCTGGGCGAGGTAGATTTGGTGCCACTTAGCCTTCGTGACCTTCGCGCTAATGTATCGAAGTCAGTGTCCGAATCGACATCGTCGCTGAATCGACCTCTGTGTTCTACAGGGTGTGGGCTCGGCCGCGCTCCTTCTTAGCGATGTCCCTCGCGAACTGGTGAGGCTCTAGCTCCTTTCGGAGGCGGCCTGGGACTTCCTTTGCGAAGTGATCGCTACGGGCTGGGTTGCCCTTCTTCAGCGGAGGCGCTTGTGGGCTCTGGGGCCCTACGCTGAAGCCAAGGAGGGCTCTGGGGCCCTGTATGACTTAATATGGGTTGGGCTCTGGGGCCCGTGGCTCTGGGGCCTCTGTAAACCGTAACGGTCCTCCATCAGTCTCATGATTTGGTTAACCAGGTCGTCTGGGACAGTCTGCACTGGCGTTGAGGGTGACCTCTCTGTGAAAGTGACGGGACCCTTAATCATAATCTCCGGCGTCAGCGTAGGCATCTCTGGTTGCGTGTTGATCTGCGCTGTGGTGACGGTAGCAGATACTGGACTTTTCTTATGACATACATCTGGAATGATAATCGGAATGTCATCATCATATAAACATAATTCTGAGACAGGTAGAATATCGGAGGCAAAATTATTTGTAGCTTTCGTAGATTTCCCTTTTGACGAAGCTGTGGACCTGGGGGTTCGAAGCGTACGTTGAGATGATGTGGACGCTTTCCTAGTCTTAGACTGTGAAGACGGAATATCTTGAGATGCAGGTCGCTTCTTGGACATAGCGGACTGCGTCCCACGCTTATCCCCCGAGGGAAACTCAGGCAGGCCACCAGCCGGTGGCGGGTCGTCAGTCAACAGTTGACAGGGCATATTAGCTTCCGATCTATTAGCCATAACTGAAGATTGTTTGTGAGATTTATCTGCCTTCCGTCTCAAAACAGAACATAAATATTTATCAAAGGCAGAAATTGGTAAATTAATACATAATTTACAACGAGAAACAATAGAACATGGAGTAATGCAACTAGGGCATATTAAATGTGGATCGGTAGCGGAATAACGTAGTTTACAACCTGTGCAGATTCTCATTAACGTAAACTGCTGAACAAACACGGCGAACCGTGAATAAAACAGCAGAAACACGACTAATAATCAATGCAAGTTGAATAAGGATACTAGTTACACCTCTATAAATGAATATAAGAGGTACTAAACTAAATATAAATAAAGGATATAGTGTGTCGGGAGACACAGGTGCTCTCACGTCCAGCTCACTGGGCGAAGAAGGAGAGAGTGAGGCACATGGGTTCAGGTGGCGCCCTCGTTCCCGCGCTTGTGGAAGGGAGGTAACTCATGGTGAGTACTAATTAGTGATTTTTTATTGAAGGGAACTTCAATTGGGAGATACAAGTGTTCCACTATGTTCGCAAGAAGAAGAAGACAAGCAATAAGCATGAGTCAGGATAAGGAAAAATAATAAAATTAAAGTCACCATACCTTCATGTGCAGCTAGTTCCCCCTACCTTCATGTACAGCTAGTCTCCTTACCTTCATGTACAGCTAGTCTCCCTACCTCCATGTACAGCTAGTCTCCCTACCTTCATGAACAGCTAGTCCCCCCTACCTCCATGTACAGCTAGTCCCCCTACCTTCATGTACAGCTAGTCCCCCCTACCTTCCTGTACAGCTAGTCTCCCCTACCTTCATGTACAGCTAGTCCCCCCTACCTTCATGTACAGCTAGTCCCCCCTACCTTCATGTACAGCTAGTCTCCCCTACCTTCATGTACAGCTAGTCCCCCTACCTTCATGTACAGCTAGTCCCCCCTACCTTCATGTACAGCTAGTCTCCCTACCTTCATGTACAGCTAGTCTCCCTACCTTCATGTACAGATAGTCTCCCTACCTTCATGTACAGCTAGTCTCCCCTACCTTCATGTACAGCTAGTCTCCCCCTACCTTCATGTACAGCTAGTCCCCCTCTACCTTCATGTACAGCTAGTCCCCCTACCTTCATGTACAGCTAGTCCCCCTACCTTCATGTACAGCTAGTCTCCCTACCTTCATGTACAGCTAGTCTCCCCCACCTTCATGTACAGCTAGTCCCCCTACACCTTCATGTACAGATAGTCTCCCTACCTTCATGTACAGCTAGTCTCCCTACCTTCATGTACAGCTAGTCCCCCTACCTTCATGTACAGCTAGTCTCCCTACCTTCATGTACAGCTAGTCTCCCTACCTTCATGTACAGATAGTCTCCCCTACCTTCATGTACAGCTAGTCTCCCTACCTTCTTCATGTACAGATAGTCTCCCTACCTTCATGTACAGCTAGTCTCCCTACCTTCATGTACAGATAGTCTCCCCTACCTTCATGTACAGCTAGTCCCCCCTACCTTCATGTACAGCTAGTCTCCCCTACCTTCATGTACAGCTAGTCTCCCTACCTTCATGTACAGCTAGTCCCCATACCTCCATGTACAGCTAGTCCCCCTACCTTCATGTACAGCTAGTCCCCCCTACCTTCATGTACAGCTAGTCACCCTACCTCAATGTACAGCTAGTCCCCCACCTTCATGTACAGCTAGTCCCCCTACCTTCTTCATGTACAGCTAGTCCCCCTACCTTCATGTACAGCTAGTCTCCCTACCTTCATGTACAGCTAGTCCCCCTACCTTCAAGTACAGCTAGTTACCCTACCTTCATCTACAGCTAGTTACCCTACCTTCATGTACAGCTAGTCCCCCCTACCTTCATGTACAGCTAGTCTCCCTACCTTCATGTACAGCTAGTCCCCCTACCTTCATGTACAGCTAGTCCCCCTACCTTCATGTACAGCTAGTCCCCCTACCTTCATGTACAGCTAGTCCCCCTACCTTCATGTACAGCTAGTCCCCCCTACCTTCATGTACAGCTAGTCCCCCTACCTTCATGTACAGCTAGTCTCCCCTACCTTCATGTACAGCTAGTCTCCCTACCTTCATGTACAGATAGTCTCCCTACCTTCATGTACAGCTAGTCTCCCCTACCTTCATGTACAGCTAGTCTCCCCTACCTTCATGTACAGCTAGTCCCCCTACCTTCATGTACAGCTAGTCCCCCTACCTTCATGTACAGCTAGTCTCCCTACCTTCATGTACAGCTAGTCTCCCTACCTTCATGTACAGCTAGTCTCCCCACCCTTCATCTACAGATAGTCTCCCTACCTTCATGTACAGCTAGTCCCCCTACCTTCATGTACAGCTAGTCCCCCTACCTTCATGTATAGCTAGTCCCCCCTACCTTCATGTACAGCTAGTCCCCCCTACCTTCATGTACAGCTAGTCTCCCTACCTTCATGTACAGCTAGTCTCCCTACCTTCATGTACAGCTAGTCTCCCTACCTTCATCTACAGATAGTCTCCCTACCTTCATGTACAGCTAGTCTCCCTACCTTCATGTACAGCTAGTCTCCCTACCTTCATCTACAGCTAGTCCCCCTACCTTCATGTACAGCTAGTCTCCCTACCTTCATGTACAGCTAGTCTCCCTACCTTCATGTACAGCTAGTCTCCCTACCTTCATCTACAGATAGTCTCCCTACCTTCATGTACAGCTAGTCCCCCTACCTTCATGTACAGCTAGTCCCCCTACCTTCATGTACAGCTAGTCTCCCCTACCTTCATCTACAGATAGTCTCCCTACCTTCATGTACAGCTAGTCCCCCCTACCTTCATGTACAGCTAGTCCCCCCACCTTCATGTACAGCTAGTCCCCCTACCTCTTTGTACAGCTAGTCACCCTACCTTCATGTACAGCTAGTCTCCCTACCTTCATGTACAGCAACGTAGTCATTTGTGCATCTGATGCTGCTCTCGATTCCTGATCGGAACACTGTAATTTGGACCTGCCCTGAGGGATCAGACGCAGTGATCTTCCACCAGCATTCAAGGTTACTGCAACAAAGATTCTCCTGTATACAACCTTATAAAACATAGTTGCAACAGTGGCCTAACCGTAACCCAAGTCACTGCCACAAAGATTCTCCTGTATACAACCTTATAAAACATTGTTGCAACAGTGGCCTAACCGTAACCCAAGTCACTGCCACAAAGATTCTCCTGTATACAACCTTATAAAACATTGTTGCAACAGTGGCCTAACCATAACCCAAGTCACTGCCACAAAGATTCTCCTGTATACAACCTTATAAAACATTGTTGCAACAGTGGCCTAACCGTAACCCAAGTCACTGCCACAAAGATTCTCCTGTATACAACCTTATAAACCATTGTTGCAACAGTGGCCTAACATTGAACCCAAGTCACTGCCACAAAGATTCTCCTGTATACAACCTTATAAAACATAGTTGCAACAGTGGCCTAACCGTGAACCCAAGTCACTGCCACAAAGATTCTCCTGTATACAACCTTATAAAACATTGTTGCAACAGTGGCCTAACCATAACCCAAGTCACTGCCACAAAGATTCTCCTGTATACAACCTTATAAAACATTGTTGCAACAGTGGCCTAACCGTAACCCAAGTCACTGCCACAAAGATTCTCCTGTATACAACCTTATAAAACATTGTTGCAACAGTGGCCTAACCGTAACCCAAGTCACTGCCACAAATATTCTCCTGTATACAACCTTATAAAACATTGTTACAACAGTGGCCTAACCGTAACCCAAGTCACTGCCACAAAGATGCGCCTGTATACAGCCTTGTAGGACATTGCTACAACAGTTCCCAAACCCAAACCCTTTTTCTAATGGAGGTCACTGCAGGTGTAGGCTTAGCTGAAGATGTAAGTAAAGGTGTGGATGTACTTGGGTGTTCATGTGTATGTGAGGTGTAAACATTGTGGTCAAGTGGTCTTGATATTGCTCACCTTGGGTAGGAGTTTGGGTAGCCAGGGGACTGGAGGTATTTAGGATCCTGATAAGATGTCAGATCCTTGCTACACACATTCTCGGCTGTTTTATCTGTAACAGATTTCAGTTAAGGGCTGTAACATTGAGGAAGCATGTAATTTTCTGAGTAAAATTGATATTTTACACTTACCCTGACTTATGTATTTTTGCTTGTCTCCTTCCTCTTGCGAACTTTAGTGGAACATTTGAATCCCCTTTTTGAAGCTCCCGTAAAATCACTGCTCACCAAGAGTTATCTCCCTTCCAGTTTTGGCGGAAGCATATAATTTGGTCTAAGCCAAGAGGCAAATGTCTTACATGACATGGCAGAGGTCGTACATGACATGGCAGAGGTCGTACATGACATGGCAGAGGTCGTACATGACAGAGGTCTTACATGACACGGCAGAGGTTGTACATGACAGAGGTCTTACATGACATGGCAGAGGTCGTACATGACATGGCAGAGGTACATGACAGAGGTCGTACATGACAGAGGTCGTACATGACATGGCAGAGGTCGTACATGACATGGCAGAGGTTGTACATGACATGGCAGAGGTCGTACATGTCAGAGGTCATACATGGCAGAGTATCCGTACATAAGCAGATCCAGAAATTTTGAAAAGGGGTTGTGGGTGTGGGTGTGGGTGTTCAGCATGTAATTTGCTACACACATAGCAAAACATTAACTTATATGTGATCTTTAGTCATTTTCAAAAGGGGAGGGGGGAATCCGCCACTGTCGTACATGACAGAGCTGCTGTGTGTAATCACCTTCAGTTTCATAGTACTTGATCTGGAAGCCCTTGTGAGTTCGGGAACTGTCTGTCTGGAAGCGGATGAACATGAACATTCCTGAGGACTGAAGAGTGGGACGGTTGCTGGCACAAAACACTCCTATCAACTGAGCTGACATGTCCTGCCCTAAAACACAGAACCACCTGTTAGCCTCAAGACACCAAAACACTTCTTGCCCTAAAACACAGAACCATCCACCAACCACACTGACACATCCAGCCCTGCAACACAGAACCATCCATCAACCTCACTGACACATCCTGCCCTAAAACACAGAACCACCCACCAACCTCACTGACACATACTGCCCTGAAACACAGAACCATCCACCAACCTCACTGACACATACTGCCCTAAAACACAGAACCATCCACCAACCTCACTGACACATCCTGCCCTGAAACACAGAACCACCCACCAACCTCACTAACACATACTGCCCTGAAACACAGAACCACCCACCAACCTCACTGACACATCCAGCCCTAAAACACAGAACCATCCACCAACCTCACTGACACATACTGCCCTGAAACACAGAACCATCCACCAACCTCACTGACACATCCTGCCCTAAAACACAGAACCACCCACCAACCTCACTAACACATACTGCCCTAAAACACAGAACCATCCACCAACCTCACTGACACATCCTGCCCTAAAACACAGAACCACCCACCAACCTCACTGACACATACTGCCCTGAAACACAGAACCATCCACCAACCTCACTGACACATCCTGCCCTAAAACACAGAACCACCCACCAACCTCACTGACACACATACTGCCCTAAAACACAGAGCCATCCACCAACCTCACTGGACACATCCAGCCCTAAAACACAGAACCACCCACCAACCTCACTGACACATACTGCCCTAAAACACAGAACCATCCACCAACCTCACTGACACACACTGCCCTAAAACACAGAACCATCCACCAACCTCACTGAAACATCCAGCCCTAAAACACAGAACCATCCACCAACCTCACTGACACATCCTGCCCTAAAACACAGAACCACCCACCAACCTCACTGACACATCCAGCCCTAAAACACAGAACCATCCACCAACCTCACTGACACATCCAGCCCTAAAACACAGAACCACCCACCAACCTCACTGACACATCCTGCCCTAAAACACAGAACCATCCACCAACCTCACTGACACATCCTGCCCTAAAACACAGAACCACCCACCAACCTCACTGACACATACTGCCCTAAAACACAGAGCCATCCACCAACCTCACTGACACATCCAGCCCTAAAACACAGAACCACCCACCAACCTCACTGACACATCCTGCCCTAAAACACAGAACCATCCACCAACCTCACTGACACACACTGCCCTAAAACACAGAACCATCCACCAACCTCACTGAAACATCCAGCCCTAAAACACAGAACCATCCACCAACCTCACTGACACATCCTGCCCTAAAACACAGAACCACCCACCAACCTCACTGACACATCCAGCCCTAAAACACAGAACCATCCACCAACCTCACTGACACACATCCAGCCCCTAAAACACAGAACCACCCACCAACCTCACTGACACATCCTGCCCTAAAACACAGAACCATCCACCAACCTCACTGACACATCCAGCCCTAAAACACAGAACCATCCACCAACCTCACTGACACATCCAGCCCTAAAACACAGAACCATCCACCAACCTCACTGACACATCCTGCCCTAAAACACAGAACCATCCACCAACCTCACTGACACATCCAGCCCTAAAACACAGAACCATCCACCAACCTCACTGACACATCCAGCCCTAAACACAGAACCATCCACCAACCTCACTGACACATCCAGCCCTAAAACACACAGAACCATCCACCAACCTCACTGACACATCCAGCCCTAAAACACAGAACCATCCACCAACCTCACTGACACATCCAGCCCTAAAACACAGAACCATCCACCAACCTCACTGACACATCCAGCCCTAAAACACAGAACCACCCACCAACCTCACTGACACATACTGCCCTGAAACACAGAACCATCCACCAACCTCACTGACACATCCTGCCCTAAAACACAGAACCACCCACCAACCTCACTAACACATACTGCCCTAAAACACAGAACCATCCACCAACCTCACTGACACATCCTGCCCTAAAACACAGAACCACCCACCAACCTCACTGACACATACTGCCCTGAAACACAGAACCATCCACCAACCTCACTGACACATCCTGCCCTAAAACACAGAACCACCCACCAACCTCACTGACACATACTGCCCTAAAACACAGAGCCATCCACCAACCTCACTGACACATCCAGCCCTAAAACACAGAACCACCCACCAACCTCACTGACACATACTGCCCTAAAACACAGAACCATCCACCAACCTCACTGACACACTGCCCTAAAACACAGAACCATCCACCAACCTCACTGAAACATCCTGCCTAAAACACAGAACCATCCACCAACCTCACTGGACATCCTGCCCTAAAACACAGAACCACCCACCAACCTCACTGACACATCCAGCCCTAAAACACAGAACCATCCACCAACCTCACTGACACATCCAGCCCTAAAACACAGAACCACCCACCAACCTCACTGACACATCCTGCCCTAAAACACAGAACCATCCACCAACCTCACTGACACATCCAGCCCTAAAACACAGAACCATCCACCAACCTCACTGACACATCCAGCCCTAAAACACAGAACCACCCACCAACCTCACTGACACATCCTGCCCTAAAACACAGAACCATCCACCAACCTCACTGACACATCCAGCCCTAAAACACAGAACCATCCACCAACCTCACTGACACATCCAGCCCTAAAACACAGAACCATCCACCAACCTCACTGGACATCCAGCCCTAAAACACAGAACCATCCACCAACCTCACTGACACATCCAGCCCTAAAACACAGAACCATCCACCAACCTCACTGACACATCCAGCCCTAAAACACAGAACCATCCACCAACCTCACTGACACATCCAGCCCTAAAACACAGAACCACCCACCAACCTCACTGACACATCCAGCCCTAAAACACAGAACCACCCACCAACTTCACTGATACCTCCAGCCCTGAAACACAAAACCATCATTTTCCTAACCTCACCATTACTGATTTTATCCCGCCTGGATTACTGCAACAGTTTACTGTTTGGCATCTCTTCGTCACAACTCCATCGTCTTCAGAAAATCCAGAACAAAGCTGCACGCATCATCACTCTCACCAGTCCTCGCTGTCACATCTCTCAGTGTGAACTCTCTACACTGGCTCTGTATTCGTGAAAGGATTTATTTCAAGATTCTCTGCCTCACCTACCAGTCTTTCTACAACTCAGGACCTTCCTACCTTCAAGACCTTCTGACACATTACTCCCCAGAAAGAACCCTGCGCTCATCACAACAACTGTTACTTGCTGTCCCGAGCTACAATCTCAAATCATTTGGCTCAAGAACCTTTTCATATGCAGCGGCTTCTCTGTGGAACTCTCTCCCAATCGAGTTAAAATCATCTCCTTATAGTCTGTCTCACAGTCCCTGAACCACATTAATTTCCCTACTGCCAAGCCCTCTCTGCAGTGCTAAAGCCCTAAATAAAGCAAGTCTAGATTTCCTCAGGTTCAGGGTTCTGGACTGTTCTGAATCTCTGGTCTCCCTAGGGCTCCTTTTCAATATAAATGGGCTTGTTTGTTACTATCAAAATTATATATATTCAGAGACTAAACCTTAGTCTAATCTCCTTACTTAAGTACATTCTATTATTATTATTATTACCATCCCGGATCCTAACTCCTTACCCCATCTTTCAGTCATACCCCGTATTTCCATTTTCATCATTTCCCTGACCCCCACTTACCATCATAGATGGTGACATTGTCAAAGGAACAGTCATACTCAAGATGGGCGTCAGTCACCTCAATCTTCACCGTTTTGAAGCCGGACATGGCACGGACAACCCAGCGGCAGTCTAAATGACTAGAAGCAGAAATATACAAAACTATGGTAACGTCAACTGGATATGTATCAATGGAACAAGATCCATGGGATCTCATCAACTGATTTTACACAAAATCTTTCCTTTAAAAACTCATAGTTGTACAGTCATTACTTCAACAGTCCATTTGAGTTTCACTTACTTCTTGTAGTTTTCTGGGTAGCCTGGGCTGGACAGAAAGGACACATGGTTGTACGCTGTCAGCGACGTTCCACATGGAGAGATAACAGCTGAAATAAAGAAGAATACTTTACTATCTTACAATTGAAGCCCTTGTCTACATCTGTCAGGGAGGAACACGGCCTACCTTAAGTGAGGGTGTATGTTAACAGGAAGCCCTTGTCTACATCGGTCAGGGAGGAACACTGTCTACCTTTAGTCAGGGTGTATGTTAACAGGAAGCCCTTGTCTACATCTGTCAGGGAGGAACACTGTCTACCTTTAGTGAGGGTGTATGTTAACAGGAAGCCCTTGTCTACATCTTTCAGGGAGGTCAGGCCTGTATAGTTAACAGGAAGCCCTTGTCTACATCTGTCAGGGAGGAACACTGTCTACCTTTAGTGAGGGTGTATGTTAACAGGAAGCCCTTGTCTACATCTGTCAGGGAGGAACACTGTCTACCTTTAGTGAGGGTGTATGTTAACAGGAAGCCCTTGTCTACATCTGTCAGGGAGGAACATGGCCTACCTTTAGTGGAGGTGTATGTTAACAGGAAGCCCTTGTCTACATCTGTCAGGGAGGAACATGGCCTACCTTCAGTGGAGGTGTATGTTAACAGGAAGCCCTTGTCTACGTTTGAGCTAGAATGGAGCCTCAAGAACAGGTATTTGCCAGTGCTCAGAAACATCGGGGTTGATGTACTGCACCACTTGATGATCAAACCCTCAGATGAATCTTTTCCTGAAATATCAAAGCTTCAGCATAGAGCAAAAGGAAGACAAAAATACTGAGACTTAAGTAGTGTTGTCTGACATGAACCCTGGTCTAACCATCTGTAATTGGAAATTTTACTACAGAATGTATATTTATATCCTATCTCATGGTATGCACCTCTCTTCTTCTTCTACGACCATGTGTGGAAACATGCTGTAGGCAAAGTTGAATCAAAACTTCCTGTACTCTGACCACCTGACCTCTGCCCCCACTCCAATAGCAGACGCTCTGTGTCTGTCATTCTTGTCTTGGATCTTCCAATAATCTGTGATGTGGGGCAGGTTGGGTGGGTATACATCGCGTGAGATAGGATAAGTATATAAATATACAATTTATAGTAAAATTTCCAAATTTTTAAACTTATCCTATCTCACGGTATGCATTATCCCACGGTTGGCTGGTGGGCCGCAGATTACCCTGTGTCAACTCTACAACCATGAGGCCCCATAACACAAGGAGGCCAGGAGAAAGCACCAACTCCCAATATGCTAACTCCAAACTTGTGATGGGTTGCTTCAGATAACCCCTTAGCTTACACAGCACAAAAACACAGTGGGCGGTGCCAAATTAAAGTGGTTTTTTAGCCGCAACTTTTACAAGCAAAAGGCAAGTTTGGCAAGTAAACCTCGCTGCCCTGCGATTTATCAGGTGACCCCAGTGAATTAAAGTCGAAGACCTTAATCTGGACAGTCCCTGCATCGAAACTACCCTCCACAGACACACGCTGGAAGGCGGTGAAAGAGGGAATAGGTCAGTTGCTCAACTTGTCTAACGTTCAGTACCAATCCCCCTAACTTACCAAAGGTGAAAAAGGACTTACGAGCAGAACACTTTGAAAACTACGTGATCGGAAATAAACACATCACTGACGTAATTGCTCTGAGAGTAGAGGTCAGTAAGTGGAGTGTTGACCACCTCTGCATGTAGCACAAGACTGGCCTCTCAGTCTATCAAGTCATATATATGACAGTGCAGGCATGCCCTACTTCCCTAGGTGAGGTGGTCTATGCCCAATATAATCCATACCAATAAGAAAGATAGGACCGATATCTTTCATGATATAGAGAATGCAAGACCTACACAAAGGTAGGAAATGCATCTTATCTGTGTTTGCAAGCCGACGACAAGCCGATATCTTTCATGATATAGAGAATGCAAGACCTACACGAAGGTAGGAAATGCATCTTATCTGTGTTTGCAAGCCGACGACAAGCTGATATCTTTCATGATATAGAGAATGCAAGACCTACACGAAGGTAGGAAATGCATCTTATCTGTGTTTGCAAGCCTACGACAAGCCGATATCTTTCATGATATAGAGAATGCAAGACCTACACGAAGGTAGGAAATGCATCTTATCTGTGTTTGCAAGCCGACGACAACTGCTGCGCCAGAACCAATGGACCCAGTTGGTGAAGACCTTCCACGTCAGATCCTGGAGGTAGGGTGAGACGAAGACTGTGTCCTAACTCCAAAAACAATCACTCTCCACAATACCCTGGATGCATCCACGGCTTGGCCCCATAATTATATTACCTCCCTTGGCCGGCTTTTTATCCAATCAGGTGTCTATGCTTGGAAGTCGAGCGAACCAATCACAACTCACTTTTGCTTCTTAAATTATCTAACCGTTTAAACTTGGCAACACAAGTGATGAAGAGGTACTCGGAAAGAGGTAGAAGGAGTTCCTTTATATATTTTTCTTTAAAGTTTCAGATCTGTCAATTTGTCTGTATTATTTCCTCAAAAATCAGCAGCAGTCGCAAGAGCCAGGAGGAAGAAAGTCTTACTTAAACATGACATGCTTGAAATCTTTCTCTGCCAGAGGTTCATAGTCCTCTGACGTGAGATGATTAAAAACCACGGAAAGGCCCCAGGCTGGTGGCCAGAACTTCCAGGATTGATCAGCAACTTGTAAAATCTGAGGAGAGACTGGAGCTCAGGGACAGTTGACACCTTCGCACCCGTAGCAGGTGCAATAACTGTGTTATGCATGGCCAGGTATGTAGACAAAGTGGAACCTTTCAATTCCTTGGAAGTTCTAGGATGCTGGAGGTACTCTGCGACCATCTGAGGCGATGCTGTAGTGGGAGATACCCATCGTCTTGCAGTATGCTTCAAAATTCTTCCATAGTCATCACAGAGTGCCCTGGAAGAAGTTCGGTACACCGTGGTAATCGCCGTAGCGACTTGCTTTTGGAATATCCCTTTGCAGTTAGTGATTCAAGTAAATGCACCAGGTGTGAAGATTAAGTGTGAGCGGAGACCAATGCAGCTGATCGGAGTGAAGATGAACCATAACATCAGCGTGAACGGGGATTTGGTACTGTAATGAGTCGGCCAAGTCTTGCAGGTTAGGAAGACAGGCCAAAAAGATGCGACCCAAAATCAGTGTCAACCGCTGCGTCGTGCGTAACTTGAGCAGAATGTGTGGAGGTAGCGCCCACTGGTGGAAATGCATACGCATTCAAGTCATCCCATGGGATGGCTAGAGCGTCGTGTTCCCAGGCCAAAGGATACGGGATCGGGGACACGAATATCGGAAACAGGTGATGGAAGCGGGTAGCAACAGAACCACTGTCGGGTCAGACATCGGAAGGCACAAAGTCTGGAACACCTGCGGATGCAGTTTCCACCCCATGGGTTATGGTCGAACCTGACTGGACAAAGAATCTACAATGACGTACTTCAACCCTGGGATGTGATTGGCCTGGACCGTGATGTTGAGAGAGTCCACTAAGTGGAAAAACTGTTGTGTCCACTGAAGAAGCTGAGGAGACCCCGTGGATCCCATTCGATTGATGTGCCACATGGCTGCAGCATACTCTGATCGAATCATAAGCTTGAGCTCCAAACGTTGATTTGACATGCGCGGTCTGCAGGAGACCACAGCCCTGCCACTTGCTGATCGAGAAAGTGAGCTCCCCACCCACGTAGCGAGACGTCTACGTACAGGTGATGTACTGGTGCAAACGGCCTTAAAGAGATTTCGCCGCAAACATGCAACAGGTCCAGACATCACTGGAGATGGGGATGGAGCACTGAAGAAAGAGAGATCAATGCGTGAGGGTCGCCGATCCTAATGTGCGGACACAGAAAATATTGCAGAGGCTATCCCCTCAGAGTCACAACTTGAACTGTTGTCAAAAGAAAAAGCTCTGTAACTGACGAAGAATCTTGGGTTGCGAAAGCGCTAGGGTGTACCATAGAAACTCCAGCGCAGACATTCAGTTCGTCGAGCCACCACTGAAGGACTGGACAAAGCATTTCTGGAAGGCGACTCAATTCCTTTGGGTTCAGTTGACGGCCTCAAGGTACAGGCGTAGAAATTGACGTAATGGCTGAATTAGGAAATGGCCTCTGTACATTGGGGCTTGAGCTGATATCAGAAGGCCTAGCAACTACTGTCACTGAAGAAGGAATCACTCCAAATGTAGTAGGTTCGTGGCATGGAAATTGTCAGTCAATCTACAGGAACATTCACATTGTACACATAGTGATGCAGGCCGTATAGTTCGCCAAATGAAGTGTTGGTCCGCCAGATGGAGTGAAAAGTTAGTAGAAGCGAGGCATGGGATCGTCAATCTACCGGAACATTCGTAAAGTTGATGGAATGGCGGAGGTAAAAAAGACCAGTGACCCCAGGAACGTTCGTAAGGGAAACGAAGGTAGTCCAGACAGAGCTGCAGTGACCTCTGAACTGAGGGCTTAAGCTAAAAACCGAGTAACCCAAGCTAAGTGAAAGCGCTTTCGGGCGATTCTGTCTGACACCCTCGGTAAACTGCTCCTCTCGGATGACTGAGAGAACTCAACATAATCACTCTTACCGGGAATGGCACCGGTTATCATCACTGGCAATGAAAGGCTGGGATAGGTATCCGCTTCGTGGGAGCAAGACAAGTACACTGCCAGTACAAGACAAGTCTGTCAGGGTACTTCATAGTCACTGTATCATCAAAAGTCTCCGGTACACAAACAGTAGTCCGCCATTGCAAATGCTACCCACAATGCAATAGTGACAAAAAAAAACGGACAACACGGACGTCAATTAACCAGGTGAGTCCCAACCCATAGAATCTGGGTAAAGTGACGCTAGCTACTTGACCAAACATCACTGCTGGTACCACACGCAGAAACTGTGCATAAATAGACCAGCTTGATATGCAGGAATATTGTACGACGCTTCACTGAGTCTTGTTACTGTATACAGACTACTCGAAGCAGCTTTGTGGTGTATCGCTGGGTGTAATCGTGGTCTGTTTCATCAACCTCAGCACCCTTCCTTCACATCATCGTCAAGTTCCTGGACAAATATGTCAAACCGGGTGGTTGTAGAGCTGACATCTACGTCGAAGGGTAGATTCGTTGAATCGAATCATTCATCAAAGGTGAAGATCGGATGGTAGATGACGGAGGAATCTTAAAAATCCAGGATCATCATTCGCTGCTGTAAAGTAGAGGCCTGCGCTACTAACATAACTACCACCTGTACAACCAGCAAAAACGATGCACTAGTAGATAACCAAGAAGTGAATGAAAGCGGCGCATTGGGGCAAAGCTTGGCACTGGACTGAAAGCATTGGTGTGTAGAGATGAGCTAATCAAAACCCAAGGTGCGCTCTGCTGTGCCGAACTGAATGAAAGCGGCACACTGGAGCGAACACTCTCTCTGTTCATAGACACCATAGAATCAGGAAGCGTAACCCCGAAGGCAGGCTCAGCACTAGTAAAACCTGTAGAAATGAGATATCAACGCCGAAAGTTGGAAGAAGTGTTGAAGTAGAACTGCAGTAAAAAAAAGTCACTGTAGGAACTAGTAAACAAGTCATGATGACAGTATGCGCTTAGACGTAACCAGATGATTCGGCGAATGCTGACAGTTCAGCAAACACTGTCGAATCGGCGAATACTGTTGGATCGGCGAATACTGTTGGATCGGCGAACACTGTTGGAGCGGCGAACACTGTTGGAGCGGCAAACACTGTTGGAGCGGCGAATACTGTTGGATCGACGAATACTGTTGGAGCGGCGAATACTGTTGGATTGGCGAATACTGTTGGAGCGGCGAATACTGTTGGAGCGGCGAATACTGTTGGAGCGGCGAACACTGTTGGAGCGGCGAACACTGTTGGAGCGGCGAATACTGTTGGAGCGGCGAATACTGTTGGAGCGGCGAATACTGTCGGATCGGCGAACACTGTTGGATCGGCGAACACTGTTGTCGGCGATCTGGTATGGTGCAGCAATCAGGATCGATTCTGAGATCTAGGTTGGTTCGACGATCTGGATCGAAGAGGTGATCTGGTTCGGTACTGTGATCCGGTTCGGACGCATTCACCATCTAAAGCGCTGAGTCAATCGGGACCGGCGCATCGGTCTAATGAGTTGGACCGAACAAGAGCGGTGAACTGAAGTGAAACGATGCACTGGTCTCGTCTCCCTTGTGAGATCGACGCATTGGTACAAAATGATGAATGGACAACAAGTGCCGCTCCGGTAGTAAACGGCACACTGGAACTAGTTGGTGGTTCATAGACAGGTGGTACAGGAAAGGTGTTGAAAGCGCCGCACTGGATACTGCCATCATGCCTGACGTCACCACAGGAGGATATGAGAGCACCATCATGCCTGACGTCACCACAGGAGGATATGAGAGCACCATCATGCCTGACGTCACCACAGGAGGATATGAGAGCACCATCATGCCTGACGTCACCACAGGAGGATATGAGAGCACCATCATGCCTGACGTCACCACAGGAGGATATGAGAGCACCATCATGCCTGACGTCACCACAGGAGGATATGAGAGCACCATCATGCCTGACGTCACCACAGGAGGATATGAGAGCACCATCATGCCTGACGTCACCACAGGAGGATATGAGAGCACCATCATGCCTGACGTCACCACAGGAGGATATGAGAGCACCATCATGCCTGACGTCACCACAGGAGGATATGAGAGCACCATCATGCCTGACGTCACCACAGGAGGATATGAGAGCACCATCATGCCTGTCGTCACCACAGGAGGATATGAGAGCACCATCATGCCTGACGTCACCACAGGAGGATATGAGAGCACCATCATGCCTGACGTCACCACAGGAGGATATGAGAGCACCATCATGCCCGTCGTCACCACAGGAGGATATGAGAGCACCATCATGCCTGACGTCACCACAGGAGGATATGAGAGCACCACACTGGATACTGCCATCACGCCTGACGTCACCACAGGAGGATATGAGAGCACCATCATGCCTGACGTCACCACAGGAGGATATGAGAGCACCACACTGGATACTGCCATCACGCCTGACGTCACCACAGGAGGATATGAGAGCACCATCATGCCTGACGTCACCGAACTGGAACAAAGCAACCAACTACAACAGCCTATATCTATCTACAATCCACACACAAAGTGAGGATCAGCAGCGGAAAAGTTGCTGTTGCACTGATCACAATGTTTGCATTTCTTAGAAGAACTTCGATTCGATTTATTTCCCATATTGACAATCAAATAATGTCTAACTGCGAGAACAACACATGTCCACTTGATGTAGCGACAAGAAAGAGAATGACAGGCACAGAGCGTCACGTGATCATCTGAGCACGCTTATTGAGATGATTGACAGGTCTGCTATTGGAGTGGGGGCAGAGGTCAGGTGGTCAGAGGCCAGGAAGTTTTGATTCAACTTTGCCTACAGCACGTTTCCACACATGATCGTAGAAGAAGAAGAAAGGTGCATACCGTGAGATAGGATAAGTTTAAAAATTTTATATTCCACATGAACCAAGATATTTATGTTAGCAGTGAGGTCTAACCATCATATGCCTCCACGTAGCTGTTGGTGCAGTAGTAGTCTTGGAAGAGGTTGGTTTCCAGCACACTTATGTTAACCACATTGTCCTCCTGCCCTGCTATGATCCTCCACCAGCACTCAGAGGGCCTGCAAGTAACAGTGTGATGGTGTGACAATATGATGAGTTGGTCGATGATGTGATGTGTGGGAACTGTGTGATGGTGTGACAATATGATGAGTTGGTCGAAGATGTGATGTGTGGTAACTGTGTGATGGTGTGACAATATGATGAGCTGGTTGACGATGTGATGTGTGGGAACTGTGTGATGGTGTGACAATATGATGAGCTGGTTGATGATGTGATGTGTGGTAACTGTGTGATGGTGTGACAATATGATGAGTTGGTCGATGATGTGATGTGTGGGAACTGTGTGATGGTGTGACAATATGATGAGCTGGTTGACGATGTGATGTGTGGTAACTGTGTGATGGTGTGACAATATGATGAGCTGGTTGACGATGTGATGTGTGGTAACTGTGTGATGGTGTGACAATATGATGAGCTGGTTGACGATGGGATGTGTGGTAACTGTGTGATGGTGTGACAATATGATGAGCTGGTTGACGATGTGATGTGTGGTCACTGTGTGATGGTGTGACAATATGATGAGATGGTTGACGATGTGATGTGTGGTCACTGTGTGATGGTGTGACAATATGATGAGTTGGTCGATGATGTGATGTGTGGTAACTGTGTGATGGTGTGACAATATGATGAGCTGGTTGACGATGTGATGTGTGGTAACTGTGTGATGGTGTGACAATATGATGAGCTGGTTGGCGATGTGAACTGTGTGATGTGCGACAATGTGATGGTGGTGTGACAATGTGATGGTGTGACAATATGATGAGCTGGTTGACGATATGATGAGCTGATGTGTGGTAAACTGTGTGATGGTGTGACAATATGATGAGCTGGTTGACGATGTGATGTGTGGTAACTGTGTGATGGTGTGACAATATGATGAGCTGGTTGACGATGTGATGTGTGGTAACTGTGTGATGGTGTGACAATATGATGAGCTGGTTGACGATGTGATGTGTGGTAACTGTGTGATGGTGTGACAATATGATGAGTTGGTTGACAATGTGATGTGTGGTAACTGTGTGATGGTGTGACAATATGATGAGCTGGTTGACGATGTGATGTGTGGTAACTGTGTGATGGTGTGAGAATATGATGAGTTGGTCGATGATGTGATGTGTGGTAACTGTGTGATGGTGTGACAATATGATGAGCTGGTTGACGATGTGATGTGTGGTAACAGTGTGATGGTGTGACAATATGATGAGCTGGTTGACGATGTGATGTGTGGTAACTGTGTGACAATATGATGAGCTGGTTGACGACTTGATGTGTGGTAACTGTGTGATGGTGTGACAATATGATGAGTTGGTTGACGATGTGATGTGTGATAACTGTGTGATGGTGTGACAATATGATGAGCTGGTTGACGATGTGATGTGTGGTAACTGTGTGATGGTGTGACAATATGATGAGCTGGTTGACGATGTGATGTGTGGTAACAGTGTGATGGTGTGACAATATGATGAGCTGGTTGACGATGTGATGTGTGGTAACTGTGTGATGGTGTGACAATATGATGAGCTGGTTGACGATGTGATGTGTGGTAACTGTGTGATGGTGACAATATGATGAGGTGGTTGACGATGTGATGTGTGGTAACTGTGTGATGGTGTGACAATATGATGAGCTGGTTGACGATGTGATGTGTGGTAACTGTGTGATGGTGTGACAATATGATGAGGTGGTTGATGATGTGATGTGTGGTAACTGTGTGATGGTGTGACAATATGATGAGCTGGTTGACGATGTGATGTGTGGTAACTGTGTGATGGTGTGACAATATGATGAGGTGGTTGACGATGTGATGTGTGGTAACTGTGTGATGGTGTGACAATATGATGAGATGGTTGACGATGTGATGTGTGGTAACAGTGTGATGGTGTGACAATATGATGAGATGGTTGACGATGTGATGTGTGGTAACTGTGTGATGGTGTGACAATATGATGAGCTGGTTGACGATGTGATGTGTGGTCACTGTGTGATGGTGTGACAATATGATGAGATGGTTGATGGCGATGTGATGTGTGGTAACAGTGTGATGGTGTGACAATATGATGAGATGGTTGACGATGTGATGTGTGGTAACTGTGTGATGGTGTGACAATATGATGAGCTGGTTGACGATGTGATGTGTGGTCACTGTGTGAAGGTGTGACAATATGATGAGCTGGTTGACCATGTGACGTGTGGTAACTGTGTGCTGTGTGATGATGATATGGTGTGACAATATGATGAGCTGGTTGGCGATGGGATGTGTGGTAACTGTGTGATGGTGTGACAATATGATGAGCTGGTTGACGATGTGATGTGTGGTAACTGTGTGATGGTGTGACAATATGATGAGATGGTTGACGATGTGATGTGTGGTCACTGTGTGATGGTGTGACAATATGATGAGCTGGTTGACCATGTGACGTGTGGTAACTGTGTGCTGTGTGATGATGATATGGTGTGATAATATGATGAGCTGGTTAACAATGTGATGTGTGGTCACTGTGTGATGGTGTGACAATATGATGAGCTGATTGATGATGTGATGTGTGGTCACTGTGTGATGGTGTGACAATATGATGAGCTGGTTGATGTTGTGATGTGTGGTAACTGTGTGCTGTGTGATGATGATATGGTGTGACAATATGATGAGCTGGTTGATGATGTGATGTGTGGTAACTGTGTGATGGTGTGACAATATGATGAGCTTGTTGATGATGTGATGTGTGGTAACTGTGTGATGGTGTGACAATATGATGATCTGGTCGATGATGTGATGTGTGGTAACTGTGTGCTGTCTGATAATGATTTGGTGTGACCTACTTCAGAATGTAGTACTCCAGGGTTAGACTTACCAGACCGGGCCTGTGGGGAAGCCCGACGATGACAGGTTCTGGGCAACAGAACTTCCCTGGAGTTCCTTGTCACAGGAGGAATCTGGAAGGTAACAAACAGAGATATGATTATGTCTTTCTGTGTAATGGTTGGATTGTGTGATGTACTGATGGTGTATTGGTTGGATTGTGTGACGATGTACTGATGGTGTATTGGTTGAAAGGTCATAATGTGGGTAGTTGTGAAGGTATGATGATATGATGGATGGATATGTGTGATGGTTTGATTGCATAATGATGTTCTACGACTGACGATTGAAGCTGGTTGAATAAGTGCTTACCTTTTCGGACAGCCTTGTACTTGATGTTAAACTTTCCTGTATTCCCGATGTAAGATTTGAACTCAGCATATACAGATCTGCTAGAGGACTGGATCCAGACCGTGTCGAAGCCTGCACAGCGCCATGCCAGACTGGGCGAGCTGGTCGATGGGCCTGGAAGCAGTTGTGTTATAGGGGAGGCAACTCACCACTTTGTAAAGCCATGTTTAAATGGAAGGAAACTCAACACTTTGTAAAGCCATGTTTAAACAGGAGGCAACTCACCACTTTGTAAAGCCATGTTTAAATGGAAGGAAACTCAACACTTTGTAAAGCCATGTTTAAATGGAAGGAAACTCAACACTTTGTAAAGCCATGTTTAAACAGGAGGCAACTCACGACTGTGTAAAAGTCATGTTTAAAGGGGAGTTAACTCACCACTGTGTAAAGCCTTGTTTAGAGGGTACGAATAAGGGGAGGCAACTCACCATCAAAGAAAGCTATGTGATCCTGGGAGGAGGTACAGAAGGTGACAGGGGACTGGGATGTGAACTGGGACACCATGAAGGCCACATGGTAGTATGGGCTGAAGGAAGTGAGTCGCCACTGGCACAGCTCATGTCTGCAGGGGGAAAAGCATTAACTCTTTCAATACAACGTAAATTTTTCACAGATGCACGTGGTATCACGTCCAGGCATCTACAACCCTTGCATATGATCGGATTTTTCCATCTGTAGCCTCTGAATTCGATGGACGAGATATTACGTCCAATTTTTAACAATGCTTCCTTATGAGGGAGGTGATTACTTTTCTACTCCTACTAAACATAGTTCACAGTTTTCTAGCCGTGTATTCTCATCCTTTGAATGCAGTTCGTGTACTTTGTGACAGTTCGTGTACTTTGTGACAGTTCGTGTACTTTGTGACAGTTCGTGTACTTTGTGACAGTTCGTGTACTTTGTGACTGTTTGTGTACTTTGTGAGTGTTCGTGTACTTTGTGACAGTTCGTGTACTTTGTGACAGTTCGTGTACTTTGTGACAGTTCGTGTACTTTGTGACAGTTCGTGTACTTTGTGACTGTGCATTATTAAGGATTTACTGGAGTATCTCCCCTGGTCAAAGCCATGCGCTATATGATCTTGACATTCGGTGACCACTCATAGCTGGTCGTGGAACATCGTATAGAACTGCAAGCCAAGTTCTGTCATTTGTGATGATGCCAGTAACTGGTACGACGTTTGACGATTGTTAGCAATGTTCTTTGACTGTTGACTGTTTTTATAACTGTTACCACAGGTAACACTCATTTCATCACTCTTTGGATGTCATGACCCTATAATCCTAAGTGATGACATAAATCTACTAAAGTAGTAGTAGTATAGTCACAGGATTGAAAACAATTGTCACAATTATCACACTGCTGACTGGGAGTTCAGTTATGTTTCTCTTTTTAGAAAAAAACCTGCAATTTCAATGTTTCTGGGCTAAAGATGACCTAATGTTTTCTCTTTTAGTCTGGAATATTTCAATAAAAGTGAATAAAGATGTTTTGAAAAAAATCAGTTCATATGGAGTTATATGTTATGTTCCTCTTGAATGGTCCATGGCAACCGTTGTAACCATGGATATATATCACTTCCCTCGTATGTAAGTGTCATGTTGCTAAAAATAGTCTCGTGTTAAAGGGTTGTGACCCCTCAGATGTGATATTTCGTCCTTCGAATGGAAAGAGTTAAACCTGAATACTGTCACAACGTCTTGATGCAGCAGCTGCCCTATAACAGTATATTATACGTTATCACATCATGTCAAGGGAAATACGGTGTTTTATCAGTCCTCAGTAAGGTTGTATTCCCCGTATTGGTTGTATGACCAATATATAATATATGTGGTAATAATATATATAAGGTTTCTGTGACACACAAACTACAAACAGGCCACTAAACGTTGCTGAAATATCTGTGATCGATATCAGTGATCAGTATCTATTAGCAGTATCTGTGATCGATATCAGTGATCAGTATCTATTAGAAGTATCTGTGATCAGTATCTATTAGCAGTATCTGTGATAATTATCTGTGATCATTATCACTTGTGACATGCAAATCTACAACAAAGCAGCTGTTCTTGTACTTACGGCCAGTAGGTGTTTGGATAGTTCGGAGAATACAACGATTGTTCTTCCAAGGTCACCTGAAGGTCGACTATTTTATCTTGATCACAGATACCTGTAACACCATCACACAAGAATACAATCAGACCTGGTACACCATCACACAAGAATACAATCAGACCTGTAACACCATCACACAAGAATACAATCAGACCTGTAACACCATCACACGGGAATACAATCAGACCTGTAACACCATCACACAAGAATACAATCAGACCTGGTACACCATCACACAAGAAAACAATCAGACCTGTAACACGATCACACAATAATACAATCAGACCTGTAACACCATCACACAGGAATACAATCAGACCTGTAACACCATCACACAAGAATACAATCAGACCTGTAACACCATCACATGGGAATACAATCAGACCTGTAACACCATCACACAAGAATACAATCAGACCTGTAACACCATCACATGGGAATACAATCAGACCTGTAACACCATCACACAAGAATACAATCAGACCTGGTACACCATCACACAAGAATACAATCAGACCTGGAACACCATCACACAAGAATACAATCAGACCTGGTACACCATCACACAGGAATACAATCAGACCTGTAACACCATCACACAGGAATACAATCAGACCTGTAACACCATCACATGGGAATACAATCAGACCTGTAACACCATCACACAAGAATACAATCAGACCTGTAACACCATCACACAGGAATACAATCAGACCTGTAACACCATCACACAAGAATACAATCAGACCTGTAACACCATCACACAAGAATACAATCAGACCTGTAACACCATCACACAAGAATACAATCAGACCTGGTACACCATCACACAAGAATACAATCAGACCTGTAACACCATCACACAGGAATACAATCAGACCTGTAACACCATCACACAAGAATACAATCAGACCTGTAACACCATCACACAAGAATACAATCAGACCTGTAACACCATCACACAGGAATACAATCAGACCTGGTACACCATCACACAAGAATACAATCACACCTGTAACACCATCACACAAGAATACAATCAGACCTGTAACACCATCACACAAGAATACAATCAGACCTGGTACACCATCACACAATAATACAATCAGACCTGTAACACCATCACACTATAATACAATCAGACCTGTAACACCATCACACAAGAATACAATCAGACCTGTAACACCATCACACAGGAATACAATCAGACCTGTAACACCATCACACAAGAATACAATCACACCTGTAACACCATCACACAAGAATACAATCAGACCTGGTACACCATCACACAATAATACAATCAGACCTGTAACACCATCACACAGGAATACAATCAGACCTGTAACACCATCACACAGGAATACAATCAGACCTGTAACACCATCACACAAGAATACAATCAGACCTGTAACACCATCACACAAGAATACAATCAGACCTGGTACACCACCACACAAGAATACAATCAGACCTGTAACACCATCACACAAGAATATAATCACATCTGTAACACCATCACACAGGAAAAGAATCAGACCTGGTACACCATCACACAAGAAAAGAATCAGACCTGGTACACCATCACACAGGAAAAGAATGAGACCTGGTACACCATCACACAGGAATACAATCATACCTGTAACACCATCACACAGGAATACAATCAGACCTGGTACACCATCATACAGGAAAAGAATGAGACCTGTAACACCACCACACAAGAATACAATCAGACCTGTAACATCATCACACAAGAATACAATCACATCTGTAACACTATCACACAAGAATACAATCAGACCTGGTACACCATCACACAAGAACACAATCAGACCTGTAACACCATCACACACAAACACATACAGACCTACCTTGTGAGGCGTAGTAATACAGTGGCACGACACTGCGTGGCATGTCTACTTCCGGGAGCGTGGGTAGATACAGCGCTGTTCCATAGACACGGTACTCTTGGCTGTTCAAGAGTGGGCACAACTTGGGGACCTGGTACTGTGCCAGCTCAGCTGATGCTGTCAGATTATTACACAGAGTAGAGTAACATTCACAGTGTTGACACGCTAGGTATTAACTAATATGCCAAACATAAATGTTATAGACAAGTTATAAAAATAACCCTAAATAAACAAGTACTAAAGCACTTTGCATGAAATTTGCTGACATATCGTGCGTGGCCCATGTACTTGGTGCACAGTGAAGTTACCTGAAGTCCACACACCTGATAGTGAAAGCTGAAACATGGTTGGTGAGCCTCTGAACATAGTTGACAACATGGTAATTTCAACCTAAACTGCGTGTACGTCATGCCACAACTTACAGAAAATCAGCGTCTCCACGCCATAGGAATGAAGCAGCCAGACATTTTGGTGTCCATTGAAATATGATCTCATCTCTATGGAGACATTTTCAATATAAGGGGAACATGAAAAATTTGGCTCAGACCGATTGTCCACCCATGACATAATGTCAGCAAGACAGCCACATTCAGCTGATCCATCTAAGGAATTGATTCTAGACTGCCAGTTTGACTACTTGGACCATCAGTGCTAGGACTGTACAGAACAGACTGAGAGAGCACCACATCCTGCCGTGTGGTGGCCTGCAATACGTCCGATTTTGCTCCAACGTCACTGACAGGGACGTCTTCCCTGATGCAGACATCATCTCTGGTACAGGAGACAAGATCGGGATAGTGTTTTGGTCATTGACAAGTCGAAATTTCATCTGGCCAGCTAAGATGGCAGGGCAAGGGTTTACAAATGGCGAGGTGAATGGTATGCTGATGCGTGCGTTGTTCAACGTCGACAGTTTCAACAAAGTTATGGAATGAGGAGGCATCACATCTCATGGTCGGACACAACTTGTCATTGTCAAGGGAAATCTTACAGGATGAGATCATTGGGCCTCATGGTCGGACACAACTTGTCATTGTCAAGGGAAATCTCACAGGATGAAATCATTGGGCCTCATGGTCGGACACAACTTGTCATTGTCAAGGGAAATCTTACAGGATGAGATCATTGGGCCTCATGGTCGGACACAACTTGTCATTGTCAAGGGAAATCTTACAGGATGAGATCATTGGGCCTCATGGTCGGACACAACTTGTCATTGTCAAGGGAAATCTTACAGGATGAGATCATTGGGCCTCATGGTCGGACACAACTTGTCATTGTCAAGGGAAATCTCACAGGATGAAATCATTGGGCCTCATGGTCGGACACAACTTGTCATTGTCAAGGGAAATCTTACAGGATGAGATCATTGGGCCTCATGGTCGGACACAACTTGTCATTGTCAAGGGAAATCTTACAGGATGAGATCATTGGGCCTCTTGGTCGGACACAACTTGTCATTGTCAAGGGAAATCTCACAGGATGAGATCATTGGGCCTCATGGTCGGACACAACTTGTCATTGTCAATGGAAATCTTACAGGATGAGATCATTGGGCCTAGTTGGTACAAGAATTGGTTCACACATGGAACATTCCCCAAGCTTTCTTCAATTGTTTAGTGTCGTCTATGTGTCGTCTATGTGTCGTCATTGTCAAGCCTGCATCAATGCCAATGGTGGACACACACGATACTGAATTTGTGAACTGACGTTTGACACCACATCTCTTCAAGGGCGTGTTATGATGCCCAGACTCAAAACATACAGATTTGGATAACACTACAAATCATGTTACTATTTTTTTGCATTAAAAAATGGCAAAACATCAAATAGTTTACTCCAGTAGTGTAGGTGACATTGTCAGGGCAGGTGGTGTTGTCATGGTCACGAGCAGGGAGATAACCCTTACCTGTGTACACCTGTATGTAGGTGGCATTGTCAGGGCAGGTGGTGTTGTCATGGTCACGAGCAGGGAGATAACCCTTACCTGTGTACACCTGTATGTAGGTGGCATTGTCAGGGCAGGAGGTGTTGCCATGGTCACGAGAAGGGAGATAACCCTTACCTGTGTACACCTGTATGTAGTTGGCATTGTCAGGGCAGGAGGTGTTGCCATGGTCACGAGAAGGGAGATAACCGTTACCTGTGTACACCTGTATGTAGGTGGCATTGTCAGGGCAGGTGGTGTTGTCATGGTCACGAGCAGGAGATAACCCTTACCTGTGTACACCTGTATGTAGGTGGCATTGTCAGGGCAGGTGGTGTTGTCATGGTCACGAGCAGGGAGATAACCCTTACCTGTGTACACCTGTATGTAGGTGGCATTGTCAGGGCAGGAGGTGTTGCCATGGTCACGAGAAGGGAGATAACCCTTACCTGTGTACACCTGTATGTAGTTGGCATTGTCAGGGCAGGAGGTGTTGCCATGGTCACGAGAAGGGAGATAACCGTTACCTGTGTACACCTGTATGTAGGTGGCATTGTCAGGGCAGGTGGTGTTGTCATGGTCACGAGCAGGGAGATAACCCTTACCTGTGTACACCTGTATGTAGGTGGCATTGTCAGGGCAGGTGGTGTTGTCATGGTCACGAGCAGGGAGATAACCCTTACCTGTGTACACCTGTATGTAGGTGGCATTGTCAGGGCAGGTGGTGTTGTCATGGTCACGAGCAGGGAGATAACCCTTACCTGTGTACACCTGTATGTAGGTGGCATTGTCAGGGCAGGAGGTGTTGCCATGGTCACGAGAAGGGAGATAACCCTTACCTGTGTACACCTGTATGTAGTTGGCATTGTCAGGGCAGGAGGTGTTGCCATGGTCACGAGAAGGGAGATAACCGTTACCTGTGTACACCTGTATGTAGGTGGCATTGTCAGGGCAGGTGGTGTTGTCATGGTCACGAGCAGGGAGATAACCCTTACCTGTGTACACCTGTATGTAGGTGGCATTGTCAGGGCAGGAGGTGTTGCCATGGTCACGAGAAGGGAGATAACCCTTACCTGTGTACACCTGTATGTAGGTGGCATTGTCAGGGCAGGTGGTGTTGTCATGGTCACGAGCAGGGAGATAACCCTTACCTGTGTACACCTGTATGTAGGTGGCATTGTCAGGGTAGGTGGTGTTGTCATGGTCACGAGCAGGGAGATAACCCTTACCTGTGTACACCTGTATGTAGGTGGCATTGTCAGGGCAAACGACAGATGGGTTGAAGGAAGCGGCTCCAGGGTAGGTAACTCCCGCGTCAAGCATCTTCATGCTGCTGTTCCTCATCTTGACATGCCAGATACACTCTGAGGCCCTGGAACGTCACGACACATTTGGTCAGTGTGAACAGAACACGCTGAGCTACTGGTAGACACAATACTCAAACACTGGACATGTTATTGTTTCAATAAATCATCATGTTTTGGTATTTTTAGTATCATATTTTGCTGCATTTAACTGACAATTATATATATATATTTCTTATTGACAGTGATAAAATTTTGAGAATGCTAACTATAAGTTGTAACCTCGCGTTATCAATATTCGCGCACCTCACACATTTCGGAGCGGTATGCGGAATTAACAAGGCATGTGAAAATCAACAATTATACAAACCTTTATCAATATAAAATGTTGATAAAAACATAAGTTTCAGCCTTTGACACTTCACTTTCATAGCGGGACGAAGCCATCATGCACACAACAGTATCAAGGTCAGCTGTGCACTAAGTCATCAATATTCGTGATAGGTAAAATCCGGACAAACAGTATGGCGAATAGTCTACGCCAAACAACTGATAACGTCATCACTTTGGAGACATTTACTGAACAAACACAAGCATAGTTTCGTAATTCAATAATTATAACTATTTGATGTCAGCGAATTTACATTACGCCAGGATATATCTACAATACCGATCCTATCTCACGTAGTGCACTTTCTGTTGCTCTTTCGACTGTGGAGTGGAAACAACCATAAACATTCAACCCCTTGCGATTCTCAGCACAAACTAACAGGGTGTGTGGGCAGTCCCGAGGTATAGGATCTCAGCCTATAATTCATCAGGTCCCGAGGTACAGGATCTCACCCTATAATTCATCAGGTCCAGAGGTACATTATCTCACCCTGTAATTCATCAGGTCCCAAGGTACATGATCTCACTCTATAATTCATCAGGTCCCGAGGTACATGATCTCACCTATAATTCATCAGGTCCCGAGGTACAGGATCTCACCCTATAATTCATCAGGTCCCGAGGTACAGGATCTCACCCTATAATTCATCAGGTCCCGAGGTACAGGATCTCACCCTATAATTCATCAGGTCCCGAGGTACAGGATCTCACCCTATAATTCATCAGGTCCCGAGGTACAGGATCTCACCCTATAATTCATCAGGTCCGAGGTACATGAACTCAGACTATAATTCATCAGGTCCCGAGGTACATGAACTCAGACTATAATTCATCAGGTCCCGAGGTACATTATCTCACCCTATAATTCATCAGGTCCTGAGGTACAGGATCTTAGCCTATAATTCACCAAAGGACAAATCACAGAGGTAAGAGTCAGGTTGACTGCTTCGCCCCGATTCCCAGCCCCGGATCCAAGGATCTTTCAGTTCTCTGTCCCAGATGGCGAGTTCATTCAGCTTAAGGGCAAAGGGGCTCGGTAAGCTCTCTGTTCGAGATTTTGTCCCAACCTAAGCAGTTGACCCTCACTTAACCCTACTAAGCTTAGTCCGTGATTGACAGGGAACACAGGTGAAGAAAGCTTTGAATTCTCCATTGCATTCGGAATTCATATTCCTACCACAGAGTGATGTTATGGCATGCTGTTTTGACAACGTATTACATTTCAAGATGATAGCGTTTGGACTACTTCAGTTTTGTAAAGTGGTGAGTTTCAAGTAGTTGCAGCAATCTTGACTCAGAAGTAGAACCTTCTTGGTGAAGGGAGAAGAACCTGAACAGTAGCGAACCTGGTCACAAGAGATCAGACAGACAGGAGTCTCCACTTGGTCGGTGACGGGATAGGGCGCCAGTGATGAACAGTTTGGACGATATAGGACGCCAGTGATGAGCAGTTTGGACGATATAGGGCGCCAGTGATGAGCTGTCTGGATGAGATAAGGCACCAGTGATGAACAGTCTTGACGATATAGGGCGCCAGTGATGAACAGCTTTGACGATATAGGGCACAAGTGATGAACAGTCTGGATGGGATAGGGCACCAGTGATGAGCAGTTTGGACGATATAGGGCGCCAGTGATGAGCTGTCTGGATGAGATAAGGCACCAGTGATGAACAGTCTTGACGATATAGGGCGCCAGTGATGAACAGTCTTGACGATATAGGGCACCAGTGATGAACAGTCTGGACAGGATAGGGCGCCAGTAATGAGCAGTCTGGACGATATAGGGCGCCAGTGATGAGCAGTCTTGACAATATAGGGCGCCAGTGATGAGCAGTCTTGACGATATACGGCGCCAGTGATGAGCAGTCTGGATGAGATAAGGCACCAGTGATGAACAGTCTGGACGATATAGGGCGCCAGTGATGAACAGTCTGGACGGGATAGGGCGCCAGTAATGAGCAGTCTTGACGATATAGGGCGCCAGTGATGAGCAGTCTTGACGATATAGGGCGCCAGTGATGAACAGTCTTGACGATATAGGGTGCCAGTGATGAGCAGTCTGGACGATATAGGGCACAAGTGATGAACAGTCTGGACGGGATAGGTCGCCAGTGATGAGCAGTCTGGACGATATAGGGCGCCAGTGATGAGCAGTCTTGATAATATAGGGTGCCAGTGATGAACAGTCTTGACGATATAGGGCGCCAGTGATGAACAGTCTGGACGGGATAGGGCGCCAGTGATGAGCAGTCTGGACAGGATAGGGCGCCAGTGATGAACAGTCTGGATGATATAGGGCGCCAGTGATGAACAGTCTTGACGATATAGGGCGCCAGTGATGAGCAGTCTGGACGATATAGGGTGCCAGTGATGAACAGTCTTGACGATATAGGGTGCCAGTGATGAACAGTCTTGACGATATAGGGCGCCAGTGATGAACAGTCTGGACGGGATAGGGCGCCAGTGATGAGCAGTCTGGACAATATAGGGCACCAGTGATGAGCAGTCTGGATGATATAGGGTGCCAGTGATGAACAGTCTGGACAATATAGGGCGCCAGTGATGAGCAGTCTTGACGATATAGGGCGCCAGTGATGAGCAGTCTGGACAATATAGGGCGCCAGTAATGAGCAGTCTGGACGATATAGGGCGCCAGTGATGAACAGTCTGGATTGGATAGGGCGCCAGTGATGAGCAGGCTGGTTGAGAAGGGCTTCAGTGATGAACAGTGTCGACGAGATAAGGTTGATATAACATCCATACGGTTGAAGTAACACCCATATGGCCAATGTAACACCCATACGGTTGATTAAACACCCATACGGTTGATGTAACACCCATACAGTTGATGGAACACCCATACGGTTGATGGAACACCCATACGGTTGATGGAACATCCATACGGTTGATGGAACACCCATATGGTTGATGTAACACCTATACAGTTGATGGAACATTATCAAATAACTGTAATACATCCCATGAAATGTGTTATCTGGTCTGTGACAACCTTGAGCTGATCATGTGCAAACGATAGAATATGTACTTGATCTTACGTTGAAGCATGAGCAACCAACATCCCAGTGGTGGGAGCATCAGATTAATGCAGGCAATGTCCCACAGAGATGACCGGGATCCATAATCCAGGAGGTATCTTCTGCACTAGAACTGATGAGGCTCACTCGGGTGCGGTTCCACACTGACTGAACCATGAGGAATAGGAGTCTCCACTTTGTCGGTAATGAGCACCCTGGACAGGATAGGGTGAGATCCATGAGGGACAGGCGATTGACTGGTGAACATTACACAAGATGGCAGTCAGAGGGATGCAGGCTTCCAGCTACCACAAAAGATGGCAGTCAAAGGGTTGCAGGGACGGCGACCATCACACAAGATGGCAGACAGAGGGTTGCAGGCTTCCAACCATCACACAAGATGGCAGTCAGAGGGTTGCAGGGACGGCGACCATCACACAAGATGGCAGTCAGAGGGATGCAGGCTTCCAACCATCACACAAGATGGCAGTCAGAGGGTTGCAGGGACGGCGACCATCACACAAGATGGCAGACAGAGGGTCGCAGGCTTCCAACTATCACACAAGATGGCAGTCAGAGGGTTGCAGGGACGGCAACAATCACACAAGACATGGACGCCAACCATCACACAAGATGGCAGTCAGAGGGTTGCAGGGACGGCAACCATCACACAAGACAGGGACGCCAACCATCACACAAGATGGCAGTCAGAGGGTTGCACACTTCCAACCATCACACAAGACGGCAGTCAGAGGGCTGCAGGGACGGCAACCATCACACAAGACAGGGACGCCAACCATCACACAAGATGGCAGTCAGAGGGTTGCAGGGATGGCGACCATCACACAAGATGGCAGTCAGAGGGTTGCAGGCTTCCAACCATCACACAAGATGGCAGTCAGAGGGTTGCAGGCTTCCAACCATCACACAAGATGGCAGACAGAGGGTTGCAGGCTTCCAACCATCACACAAGATGGAAGTCAGAGGGTTGCAGGCTTCCAACCATCACACAAGATGGCAGACAGAGGGTTGCAGGCTTCCAACTATCACACAACATGGCAGTCAGAGGGTTGCAGGGACGGCAACCATCACACAAGACAGGGACGCCAACCATCACACAAGATGGCAGTCAGAGGGTTGCAGGCTTCCAACCATCACACAAGATGGCAGACAGAGGGTTGCAGGCTTCCAACCATCACACAAGATGGCAGTCAGAGGGTTGCAGGCTTCCAACCATCACACAAGATGGCAGACAGAGGGTTGCAGGCTTCCAACCATCACACAAGATGGCAGTCAAAGGGTTGCAGGGACAGCGACCATCACACAAGATGGCAGACAGAGGGTTGCAGGCTTCCAACCATCACACAAGATGGCAGTCAGAGGGTTGCAGGGACGGCGACCATCACACAAGATGGCAGTCAGAGGGATGCAGGCTTCCAACCATCACACAAGATGGCAGTCAGAGGGTTGCAGGGACGGCGACCATCACACAAGATGGCAGACAGAGGGTCGCAGGCTTCCAACTATCACACAAGATGGCAGTCAGAGGGTTGCAGGGACGGCAACAATCACACAAGACATGGACGCCAACCATCACACAAGATGGCGTCAGAGGGTTGCACACTTCCAACCATCACACAAGATGGCAGTCAGAGGGTTGCAGGGACGGCAACCATCACACAAGACAGGGACGCCAACCATCACACAAGATGGCAGTCAGAGGGTTGCAGGGATGGCGACCATCACACAAGATGGCAGTCAGAGGGTTGCAGGCTTCCAACCATCACACAAGATGGCAGTCAGAGGGTTGCAGGCTTCCAACCATCACACAAGATGGCAGACAGAGGGTTGCAGGCTTCCAACCATCACACAAGATGGCAGTCAGAGGGTTGCAGGCTTCCAACCATCACACAAGATGGCAGACTGAGGGTTGCAGGCTTCCAACTATCACACAACATGGCAGTCAGAGGGTTGCAGGGACGGCAACCATCACACAAGACAGGGACGCCAACCATCACACAAGATGGCAGTCAGAGGGTTGCAGGCTTCCAACCATCACACAAGATGGCAGACAGAGGGTTGCAGGCTTCCAACCATCACACAAGATGGCAGTCAGAGGGTTGCAGGCTTCCAACCATCACACAAGATGGCAGACAGAGGGTTGCAGGCTTCCAACCATCACACAAGATGGCAGTCAGAGGGTTGCAGGGATGGTGACCATCACACAAGATGGCAGTCAGAGGGTTGCATGCTTCCAACCATCACACAAGACGGCAGTCAGAGGGTTGCAGGAATGGCGACCATCACACAAGATGGCAGTCAGGGGGTTGCAGGGATGGCGACCATCACACAATATGGCAGTCAGAGGGTTGCACGCTTCCAGCTACCACACAAGATGGCAGTCAGAGGGTTGCAGGCTTCCAACCATCACACAAGATGGCAGTCAGAGGGTTGCAGGCTTCCAACCATCGCACAAGATGGCAGACAGAGGGTTGCAGGCTTCCAACCATCACACAAGATGGCAGTCAGAGGGTTGCAGGCTTCCAACCATCACACAAGATGGCAGACAGAGGGTTGCAGGCTTCCAACCATCACACAAGATGGCAGTCAGAGGGTTGCAGGGATGGCGACCATCACACAAGATGGCAGTCAGAGGGTTGCATGCTTCCAACCATCACACAAGATGGCAGTCAGAGGGTTGCAGGGATGGCGACCATCACACAAGATGGCTGTCAGAGGGTTGCAGGCTTCCAACCATCACACAAGATGGCTGTCAGAGGGTTGCAGGGATGGCGACCATCACACAAGATGGCAGTCAGAGGGTTGCAGGCTTCCAACCATCACACAAGATGGCAGTCAGAGGGTTGCAGTGACAGCGACCATCACACAAGATGGCAGGCAGAGGGTTGCAGGGATGGCGACCATCACACAAGATGGCAGTCAAAGGGTTGCAGGCTTCCAACCATCACACAAGATGGCAGTCAGAGGGTTGCAGGGACGGCGACCATCACACAAGATGGCAGACAGAGGGTCGCAGGCTTCCAACCATCACACAAGATGGCAGTCAGAGGGTTGCAGGGACGGCGACCATCACACAAGATGGCAGTCAGAGGGTTGCAGGGATGGTGACCATCACACAAGATGGCAGTCAGAGGGTTGCAGGGATGGTGACCATCACACAAGATGGCAGTCAGAGGGTTGCAGGGATGGCAACCATCACACAAGATGGCAGTCAGAGGGTTGCAGGTTTGGCTGATCTGTAGACACATCTGAAGGTGGAACAGATGGCACAGAACCTGCTGAGGTAATGTCTGAGGGAGCGTCTCGGAAATCATAGTGTGTCGGGCATGGGAAGTTTTGACAAGGAAGCCTTCACTGTAAAAGTTTCATCTTCCTTGAGGCGAACTGTTCGAACTCTTCAGATCTTTGTTTGAGTCTCTATCCTGTATGCATCTTCCTTCAGGCGAACTGTTCGAACTCTTCAGATCTCTGCTTGAGTCTCTATCCTGTATGCATCTTCCTTCAGGCGAACTGTTCGAACTCTTCAGATCTCTGCTTGAGTCTCTATCCTGTATGCATCTTCCTTCAGGCGAACTGTTCGAACTCTGCACATCTCTGCTTGAGTCTCTATCCTGTATGCATCTTCCTTGAGGCGAACTGTTCGAACTCTTCAGATCTCTGCTTGAGTCTCTATCCTGTATGCATCTTCCTTCAGGCGAACTGTTCGAACTCTTCAGATCTCTGCTTGAGTCTCTATCCTGTATGCATCTTCCTTGAGGCGAACTGTTCGAACTCTTCAGATCTCTGCTTGAGTCTCTATCCTGTATGCATCTTCCTTCAGGCGAACTGTTCGAACTCTTCAGATCTCTGCTTGAGTCTCTATCCTGTATGCATCTTCCTTGAGGCGAACTGTTCGAACTCTGCACATCTGTGCTTGAGTCTCTATCCTGTATGCATCTTCCTTGAGGCGAACTGTTCGAACTCTTCAGATCTCTGCTTGATTCTCTATCCTGTATGCAACTTAAACCAGCTTTTCACGTACCATTTAAGAATATTGAGCATTCATCTGCACGGACCAAGACAGTCACATGATCAACCAGGGTTATGTCACATGATCAACCAGGGTCATGTCACATGATCAACCACGGACCTGAGAGGTCTTATATCAGTAAATGGATCAGGGGGTGTTTGGGAAAGCTGTTCAGAGAGGCTGAAAACTTTGTTCAAGGTTGTTTCCTCTCAACAGTTAAAGAACAAATGAAAATGCATTATGTGAGATAGGATTCAATAAAACAATTGTATATTCCTGTCTTCAACATCTGTCTACCCCAATCTAGCGTCTACCGTGTCTACCCTCATTCTGCCCAACTGCCTACTTCTGTGAACCCCTGTCCACTTCTGTCAACCAATCTCACTAACACACACATCACTAACACACACATCACTAACACACACATCACTAGCACACACATCACTAACACACACATCACTAGCATACACATCACTAACATACACATCACTAACACACACATCACTAGCATACACATCACTAACATACACATCACTAACACACACATCACTAACATAAACATCACTAGCATACACATCACTAACATAAACATCACTAACATACACATCACTAACACAAACATCACTAACATACACATCACTAACACACACATCACTAACATACACATCACTAACATAAACATCACTAACACACACATCACTAGCATACACATCACTAACATACACATCACTAACATACACATCACTAACACACACATCACTAACACACACATCACTAGCATACACATCACTAACATACACATCACTAGCATACACATCACTAACATACATCACTAACACACACATCACTAACACATACATCACTAGCACACACATCACTAACACACATCACTAACACACACTTCACTAGCATACACATCACTAACACACACATCACTAACACACACATCACTAGCACACACATCACTAACACACACATCACTAGCATCCACATCACTAACACACATCACTAACACACACTTCACTAGCATACACATCACTAACACACACATCACTAACATACACATCACTAACACACACATCACTAGCACACACATCACTAACACACATCACTAACACACACTTCACTAGCATACACATCACTAACACACACATCACTAACACACACATCACTAGCACACACATCACTAACATACATCACTAACACACACATCACTAGCATACACATCACTAACATACATCACTAACACACACATCACTAACACACACATCACTAGCATACACATCACTAACATACATCACTAACACACACATCACTAACACACACATCTCTAATTATGTCAACCAATGTATATAATTCTGTCAACCCCTGAGTACTTTGGTCAACAACTGTCTACTTCTAACAAACAGTGTCTACTTCTGTCAACCCCTGTCTACTTCTGTCAAGTAGTGTTTACTTTTGTCAAGCAGTGTCTACTTCTGTCAACCCCTGTCTACTTCTGTCAAGTAGTGTTTACTTTTGTCAAACAATGTCTACTTCTGTCAACACCTGTCTACTTCTGTCAAGTAGTGTTTACTTTTGTCAAACAATGTCTACTTCTGTCAACAACTGTCTACTTCTGTCAAGTAGTGTTTACTTTTGTCAAGCAGTGTCTACTTCTGTCAACAACTGTCTACTTCTGTCAACCAGTGTCTACTTCTGTCAACCCCTGTCTACTTCTGTCAAGTAGTGTTTACTTTTGTCAAGCAGTGTCTACTTCTGTCAACCAGTGTCTACTTCTGTCAACCAGTGTCTACTTCTGTCCCACTGTCTACTTGTGTCTAGCCCTGTCTATTTCTCCCTGTGTCTATACACCCACCTGTTGTATTCCATGACTGTGTAGGAACGGAGAGTTGTTGCGGCGAGGGTTCGCACTCCAGCCTCACCTGGACACATGATACACATTAAACGTTCATCATAAACACTTTGTAGTGTAAACCTTATATAACCTGTAAATGGCAGTTACAAGTGTGTCACGTATAGGGAAATTATGCCAACTCGTTACTGTAAGATATATGCTGTCATCATTCCTCACCACTTTCAGCAGTATTGACGACAGTATCATGTATGCCGCCATGTGAATCACATTGAATCACTCTACATTATTCCTGAATTTCAATTAGTCACTACTACTAAATGCTAACATCGTATTATTGAACAGGAAATATTGGCAGAACACTGGGTAATTCAACATAAAATGCATTAAAAATAATTACCAAAGTTCCATCATTAACCAACATAAAACACTTACCCACACTTCATGGCCTTATATCTTATAACACTACATAACATTCTACACTGAAATACCAGCGCCTTGAGCATGCACCAGTTGTGTGGACATGTGCGCTATAGAAATATCCTATACATCTAAGTGAGTGTCTTTAGTTTTACGCCACCTTCAGAAATATTCCAGCAATATCACAGTGAGAGACACCAGAAATGGGCTTCACACATTGTACCCATGTGGGGAATCGAACCTAGGTCTTCAGCGTGACTAGAGAACACTTGAACCACTAGGCTACCCCACTGCCCCTTACACTGTAAGTTGCGCAACACCAACACAACACTACAGGTGCTATAAATATAATATATGCTGTATGTCGTACACTCTGGGCTGGCTTGTATCTTCATCACATAGGCTGACTTCTGGGAGTAGGGTGTGGAGAGGATGGTCGACTCTATAAACATCTCAGGGCTGACCACTCGTGAAAACATGTCCGACATTGCACATGCCGACACCAGCTGCATGGAGGAGTTGTCTGCCCCTGGAATCAAGATTGGTACGAATCTGTGTGTACATCATCACTAACATACATCACTAACATACACATCACTAACATAAACATCACTAACACACATCACTAACACACACATCACTAACACACACATCACTAGCATACACATCACTAACATACACATCACTAACACACACATCACACTAACACACACATCACTAACACACACATCACTAACATACACATCACTAACACACACATCACTAACACACACATCACTAACATACATCACTAACATACACATCACTAACACACACATCACTAACATACACATCACTAACATACACATCACTAACATACACATCACTAACATACACATCACTAACATACACATCACTAACATACACATCACTAACATACACATCACTAACATACACATCACTAACATACACATCACTAACACACACTATCACTAACACTAACACACATCACTAACATACATCACTAACATACACATCACTAACATACACATCACTAACACACATCACTAACATACACATCACTAACATACACATCACTAACATACACATCACTAACACATACATCACTAACATACACATCACTAACATACATCACTAACACACACATCACTAACATACACATCACTAACATACATCACTAACATAACATCACTAACATACACTCACTAACATACATCACTAACATACACATCACTAACATACACATCACTAACACACACATCACTAACACACATCACTAACACACATCACTAACACACACATCACTAACATACATCACTAACATACACATCACTAACATACACATCACTAACATACACATCACTAACACACACATCACTAACATACACATCACTAACATACACATCACTAACACACATCACTAACATACACATCACTAACATACACATCACTAACATACACATCACTAACATACACATCACTAACATACATCACTAACATACACATCACTAACACACACATCACTAACATACACATCACTAACATACACATCACTAACACACACATCACTAACACACACATCACTAACATACATCACATCACAACATACATCACTAACATACACATCACTAACATACATCACTAACATACATCACTAACATACATCACTAACAAACACATCACTAACATACACATCACTAACATACATCACTAACATACACATCACTAACATACACATCACTAACATACACATCACTAACATACATCACTAACATACACATCACTAACATACATCACTAACATACATAACATACACATCACATCACTAACATACACATCACTAACATACACATCACTAACATACACATCACTAACATACACATCACTAACATACACATCACTAACATACATCACTAACATACACATCACTAACATACACATCACTAACATACATCACTAACATACATACACTATCACACTAACATACACATCACTAACATACACATCACTAACATACACATCACTAACATACACATCACTAACATACACATCACTAACATACACATAACATACACATCACTAACATACACATCACTAACATACACATCACTAACATACATCACTAACATACACATCACTAACATACATCACTAACATACACATCACTAACATACACATCACTAACATACACATCACTAACATACACATCACTAACATACACATCACTAACATACACATCACTAACATACACATCACTAACATACACATCACTAACATACACATCACTAACATACACATCACTAACACACACATCACTAACATACACATCACTAACATACACATCACTAACATACACACATCACTAACATACACATCACTAACATACACATCACTAACATACACATCACTAACATACACATCACTAACATACACATCACTAACATACACATCACTAACATACACATCACTAACATACACATCACTAACATACACATCACTAACATACATCACTAACATACACATCACTAACATACACATCACTAACATACATCACTAACACACACATCACTAACATACACATCACTAACATACACATCACTAACATACACATCACTAACACACACATCACTAACATACACATCACTAACATACACATCACTAACATACACATCACTAACATACACATCACTAACATACACATCACTAACACACACATCACTAACACACACATCACTAACATACATCACTAACATACATCACTAACATACACATCACTAACATACATACTAACATACATCACTAACACACACATCACTAACATACACATCACTAACATACACATCACTAACATACACATCACTAACATACACATCACTAACATACACATCACTAACATACACATCACTAACATACACATCACTAACACACACATCACTAACATACATCACTAACATACACATCACTAACATACACATCACTAACATACACACACATCACTAACATACATCACTAACACACACATCACTAACATACACATCACTAACATACACATCACTAACATACACATCACTAACACACACATCACTAACATACACATCACTAACATACACATCACTAACACATCACTACACACATCACTAACATACACATCACTAACATACACATCACTAACATACACATCACTAACACACACATCACTAACATACACATCACTCACTAACACATACACATCACTAACATACACATCACTAACATACACATCACTAACATACACATCACTAACATACACATCACTAACACACACATCACTAACATACACATCACTAACATACACATCACTAACATACACATCACTAACACACACATCACTAACATACACATCACTAACATACACATCACTAACATACACATCACTAACATACATACATACACTACTAACATACACATCACTAACATACACATCACTAACATACACATCACTAACATACACATCACTAACATACACATCACTAACATACACATCACTAACATACACATCACTAACATACACATCACTAACACACACATCACTAACATACACATCACTAACATACACATCACTAACATACACATCACTAACACACACATCACTAACATACACATCACTAACATACACATCACTAACACACACATCACTAACACACACATCACTAACATACACATCACTAACACACACATCACTAACATACACATCACTAACATACACATCACTAACATACACATCACTAACATACACATCACTAACATACACATCACTAACATACACATCACATACACATCACTAACATACACATCACTAACACACACATCACTAACACACACATCACTAACATACACATCACTAACATACACATCACTAACATACACATCACTAACATACACATCACTAACACACATCACTACATACACATCACTAACACACACATCACTAACATACACATCACTAACATACACATCACTAACATACACATCACTAACACACACATCACTAACATACATCACTAACATACACATCACTAACATACACATCACTAACACACACATCACTAACACACACATCACTAACATACACATCACTAACATACACATCACTAACACACATCACTAACATACACATCACTAACATACACATCACTAACACACATCACTAACACACACATCACTAACACACACATCACTAACATACACATCACTAACATACACATCACACATCACTAACATACACATCACTAACATACACATCACTAACATACACATCACTAACATACATCACTAACATACACTAACATACACACTAACATACACATCACTAACATACACACTATCACTATCACAACACACATCACTAACATACACATCACTAACATACACTAACATCACTCACTAACATACACATCACTAACATACACACACATAACATACACATCACTAACATACACATCACTAACACACACATCACTAACATACATCACTAACATACACATCACTAACACACACACATCACTAACATACATCACTAACATACACATCACTAACATACACATCACTAACATACACATCACTCACTACATACACATCACTATACATACAACATACACATCACTAACATACACATCACTAACACATCACTAACATCACATAACTAACACACATCACTAACATACACATCACTAACATACACATCACTAACATACACATCACTAACATACACATCACTAACATACACATCACTAACATACACATCACTAACATACACATCACTAACACTACACATCACTAACATACACATCACTAACATACACATCACTAACATACACATCACTAACATACACATCACTAACATACACATCACTAACATACATCACTAACATACATCACTTAACACACACATCACTAACATACACATCACTAACATACACATCACTAACACATACACACATCACTAACATACACACATCACACTCAACATACACATCACTAACATACACATCACTAACATACACATCACTAACATCACTAACATACACATCACTAACATACATCACTAACATACATCACTAACATACACATCACTAACATACATCACTAACATACACATCACTAACATACACATCACTAACATACACATCACTAACATACATCACTCACTAACATACATCACTAACACACACATCACTAACATACACATCACTAACATACATCACTAACATACACATCACTAACACACATCACTAACATACACACATCACTAACATACACATCACTAACATACACATCACTAACATACACATCACTAACATACACATCACTAACATACATCACTAACACACACATCACTAACATACACATCACTAACATACACATCACTAACATACACATCACTAACATACACATCACTAACATACACATAACATACACATCACTAACATACACATCACTAACATACACATCACTAACATACACATCACTAACATACACATCACTAACATA